TTAGGTTTCTCTATGTAACAACGCGTGACAATTTGCAGGGTGAGGGGATGTTAAGCCCCGCCCACTTTACTATCTACATCTACCGATGAATAGTAAAACTACTCGAATCGTTCCATATCGATGTTGCAATGTAATTTAGCTACCTTGACGATAGATGGCGGCCTGTTCACAAAATGATTATAAAAACTATAAAAATAATATTTTGGCGATTAAAAACTCTTTAGGACTAAATGCAAAACAAATTTCAACACCCTCGTATGATTATTTTATCAATACTGAGCTCTACGTAACTTAATATTTTTAGTTTCCATGACACAAAGTGTCACCATCTAGTGTCAAATATATTTAATTACATTTGAAAGCCTATGCAGAGATTTTTCTAGAACCTTTTTAATAAATTGGGTATAAAATTACTACAAATGAAATGTGACGTCGTCCATAGCATCAGAGCGTCTATTTGAGTAGTTTTTACACGATGAAACACAACATTTCATCCTCTTCTTAATACTACGAAAATACACCGATTTGCGATTTTCGACAATAAGCGCACAGGACGAACGTTGACAGTATACTAAGTAAAGCCACGCCCACTGTAATAACGTCAGGACCTAGTTAGAATCACAGTGCACTGTTGCTTATGCCATCTCTTTTCTTTATCCTCACCCATGGTGCACAAACATTGTATAATTTCAATGCACCTCTACTACGAGTCTGAGGTCCCTTTACAGCCGCACAACTTGTACATTTGCGACACCAGTCCTCGACATCGTCACGACAGTAGACCCGGTAAAACTGTTCTCGGATCTTTAGTATAGTTCGTTTAACTCCCAGATGGCCTCCTGAACAACCATTATGGTACAGCTGTAGAACATCCGGTACTTTAGCTTTAGGGACAACCATTTGCAAATAACCACTGTCTCCCCGACCATTTTCCCATTTACGGTACAGGACTCCATCCTGAATCAGCAAGCTGTCCCATTGGGCCCAATGGCTTTTCGTGGTCGAACACATCGCTGAGACGTCGCCCCACTTGGGCTTAGGAGCACTGGCCTTCATCCATTCCAGAATCAGCTTGATGTCCGAATCTTCCTGCTGTGCATGTTGTAGGCTGTCCTTCGACTCATTGTTGAGCTGGTCTGTCCTGAGCATCCTCACAGATACCACTTCCTTACCCTCTTGCCTAGTACAATGCTTGCAATCTTCAGGATAAGGTCTTCTTGACAATGCATCTGCGTTGCCATGAGATTTCCTTCTGCGATGTAGTTCGTAGTTAGATCCATCTCGCAACTTGTTCTTCTGGATTTTTGAACTGCAATAGCCATTTCAGTGCAGTTTGTAAGTGAAATTTCCGCTCCAGAAGATATTTGCTAAAATACTGCAACGATTTTACCACAGCAAGCAATTCCCCTCTTGTGACACAATAGTTCCTTTCCGGCTTTGACAACGACTTGCTGAAGTACGCTGTCACAACCTCTTGATCACCATTCCGTTGAGACAACACACCGCCAAGTCCTATATCACTTGCGTCTGTGTCAACTATAAATTCCTTGCCTGCATCAGGGTACCCCAAAATAGGTGTTTTACACAGACTATCCTTCAGCTCCTGAAATGCGATATTGCAACTTTCATCGCTTCTCCTCGGTTAGCTTGTGCAGATGTTTGACTATATCCGCAAAGTTCTTCATAAATCGCTGATAATAGGAGCACAAACCGAAAAATGCTCTAACTCTGTCTTTTAGGACCGGCCAATCCTTGACAGCGGCGATTTTCTCTGGATCCGTGCGGATACCTTCTTCCGGACAATACATACCCCAAAAAGCTAACTTGCTTGCCACTTGAATAGTGAACATTTTTTCGGACTCACCTTGAGGTTGGCACTCTGGATCTTCATGAGCACGCGTTCCAGGTGTTGAAGATGTTCCTCAAACGTACGACCTACGATGATGATGTCATCCAAGTAGACCAGACAGGCATCGCCAATTAGCCCGGTAATTACAAGATCCATCAACCTTTCAAACGTTGCTGGAGCATTGCACAATCCAAACGGCATAACATTAAATTGCCACAGACCCTTTACTGTTGAGAATGCAGTTTTCGCCTCGTCCTTAGGGTCGATTTCAACCTGCCAGTAGCCACTTTTCAGGTCCAGCGTGCTAAACCACTTTACTCCTATAAGCATGTCCAGCGTGTCCTCAATTATTGGCAAGGGATAGCTGTCCTTCTTTATAACTTCGTTAATACGGCGGTAGTCAACACAAAACCGCATGCTGCACTCCTTTACCAGCACCACAGGTGACATTGGCCGTTAGTTTGGACATAGCGAAGGCCTTCGATCGGGTTTGGCACAAAGCGCTTCTTTCGAAGCTCCCTTCCTATGGGCTTCCCGGGAAATTATGCAATTGGATCACCAGCTTTCTTGCAGATTGGAGCATCAAGGTCGTTGTAGACGGCGCATGCTCCGAGTACAAGCCTATTAACGCTGGTGTTCCACAAGGCTGCGTGCTATCACCAACGCTGTTTCTTCTGCATATCAATGATATGTTGCAAACCGGTATCATTCATTGCTATGCGGATGACAGCACTGGTGATGCTCTATACACCGGCCGTGCCAATATTTCTCTGGAAAACGTCGCCGAGTACCGGAACAAACTTGTGTTTGAAGTCGAGTCTTTGCTGGACAAAGTCTGGGATTGGGGCGACTAAATCTAGTCCAGTTTAATCCTCAGAAGACACAAGTTTGCGCGTTTACCGCTAAAAAGAACCCCTTTGTCGTATCTCCTCTATTTGGCGCAGGTTTGGCCTCACATGGAATACTGTTCCCATCTCTGGGCTGGGGTTCTCCAGTGCCAGCTCCTTCCACTTGACCGCATCCTGCGCAGAGCGGCTCGAATCGTCGACAACCGAGTCCTTTCCGATCGGCTCGACTCATTGGCGCTGCGAAGAGATGTTGCATCTCTTTGCATTTTCTTTCGCATTTACCACGGGGGATACCATCCACACCATCTGGATGATTGGCGGTCCACCACTGTGCGATTTAGAAGATGTTTTCTTCCTCGCATAACTTCCTTGTGGAATAGTTTACCACCAGCGATTTTTCCGGACCGATACGACTTAGGGACCTTCAAGAAAAGAGCCTACTCCTTTTTAAAAGGCCGGCAACGCATCTGCAATTCCCCTGGTGTTGCGGTTGTTCATGGGCGGCGGTAGTCACTTACCATCAGGTTAGCTGCATGCTCGTTTGCCCCATCTCTTATAAAAAAAAGATCCTTCACCATCCCCTTAATCATGGTTTCCACTTCATTTTCACGTACTGCTGATAGTCTTCTTGGCCGCTGAAGGATAGGCATTTCTTCTCCTGTGTTTATTTTGTGTTGAACTAAGCCAGTCTTTCCTATGTCAGCATCGATTGACGAGAAAACATCGGCGTTCTTGAGTAACTACTTCTTCGCCTTGACCATTTCATTCGGGGAGAGAACGCTGCGACAGTCAATATCTCTTTTAGAATTACCAGCAATAATTGAATAACATATTTACGTCCCATAAAACTTGGTTCCATTCTTCCTTCATTCATAGGACTTCAAAGCTTGATGAAAACAATCACTATTTTCACTGCTTACTCTTCCTAGGTTACCCGGATAAAAAATTAAGTTGCAAGTTTAAAATATGAATTTTTAAAGACAGCTTAACTCCCATTATGTGGTAATTGTTCAAGAAATTTGATAAAATTATAAATGATATTTTTTTAATGTCTTATCTTATTTGGTTTAATCAACAATTTTTTTTATATTGAAATAAAACAAATTTACCTGACCACTGAGTCAATTTTCCTTCCTTAAAATATTTTCTAAATTGTATTTTTGGTTCAAAAGTAAAAACATACGAGACGGCTCCGTAGCGCAGTGTAGCATTGAGTTACGTCGCCGAGAGCCGCGGGCTCGAATCCCGCATAGAATTAGTTACAATTATTATTAATTAATTATTAGAATTAGTAGCAGTTATTAGTGGCATGCAAATAATTGTTCCTCGTTTGGATTTTTGTCTAGCTAGTGATCAACATTTTTTTTTAAAGAAATAGTGTTATGTTGTATGACTAACATTATCATTAGTACACACACACACACACACACACACACAACACACAAACACTCAAGCCTGTCACCCAGAGGGGTAGGCAGAGACTACGGACTTCCATTTGGTGCGATCCTGACACACCTCTCTCGCCTGCTTTACATCCATATATCCGCATACACGCTCGTCGGTTAAGGGTACTCCTAATCTGGCCCATTTTTAATATATCGCCGATTTGGTCGATAAACCTTCGTCTAGGGCGTCCCTTCCCGACCCTGCCGTTCACTTCTGCAACATAAATTTGCTTTGCAACATAAATAGCAATGACCAATAATGTTGTGCAAAGTGCACTGCGCGTGGATGCGCTTTTGTTAATGCACACTGAACGCGAAGCGGACAGGTTGGGCTCTACTGTCGAATTTTAAATCACTCGTTTCACTCACATTAATTGGTGTTTATTATTTAACATCACACTGCTAATATGTTATGGATACATGATTAAAAAAAGGAAGCACTAATGAACAAGCCTGATGCTTTTTTTAAATTCACGAACACGTATTCTTATAGAAAAAAAGTGCGATAAAAATTATATCGTGGATGTCCTTTAGTCTATGTTTCATAAATTCTCTGTGTACAAGATATCTCGAGAACTACTTAACAAATTTCATCTTCAGAACCACGTAGAGCTGCTTCCTTTCGATGATCACCTGTGTAATCTATTTAAAATATTACATGAGCGTTTGGGGTGTGCACTTTTGGATTTTCCATTTTTTTTTAGAATTTATTACACATAGTTTATATATTATATTTCTTTCTTTTCCAGATGAATGAAAAGTATGCTTGGAGGGATAAGAAACAAGAAATAAAAATATTAATTTGATAGAGCTCTAGGTTTTGTAAATATCCGGTTGGTGCTTTTTTATAATTGTAAGATGATCACTAGAAGATGGTTTCACCCATCACTGAGCGGAGTAGATGCGGAGAAACTGCTTTTAGAGTGCGGTCGCGACGGCTACTTCCTAGCGAGACCCAGCATGAGCAACAAGGGAGACTTTACACTCTCTGTTCGAAGGGGTAATGAGGTAACACATATAAAAATTCAAAACAATGGGGAATTTCTCGACCTTTACGGCGGGGAGAAGTTCGCTACACTCTCGGAACTCGTCCAACATTACATGGACAATCAGGGCCAACTGCGAGAAAAGAACGGCAACATCATAAGGCTAAAGACCCCGCTCAATTGTGCGGATCCCACTACAGAGCGCTGGTATCACGGACAGTTAACCGCAAAAGAAGCCGAGAGGATGATGTTAGAAAATGGCAAGAATGGTTCCTTCCTCGTCAGAGAATCCCAAAGGCAACCGGGAGATTTTGTTCTGTCGGTGAGAACGCGCGATCGTGTTACCCATGTAATAATAAGAAGGCAAGACAACAAATACGATGTTGGAGGAGGCGAGCAGTTCGATGACCTCGTTAGTTTAATAGAACATTACCGAAACTATCCCATGGTCGAAACCACAGGCGAAGTACTAAGGCTTATACAGCCGTTCAACGCAACGCGAATTCAAGTCCGACACTTCCACACTCGGGTCAAACAGCTTCAGAAAGAAAACGAAGGCCCAATCGAGAGCATGGCGTACAAACAGGGCTTTTGGGAGGAATTCGAAACGTTGCAAATGATGGAGAATTTACAGCTGTTTGATAGAATGGAAGGCTCCAAACCGGAGAATATTAGGAAGAACAGATATAAAAACATAATACCGTTCGATCACACGCGCGTCGTTTTACGTGACGTGCCGGCCGACGCACCGCCAGGCGCTGATTACATTAACGCCAATTACATCCGATGCGACAGCATTGATGCCAGTTCCGATTCGCAGGATACCAACGGAAGCAACGAGAACAGTTCGCCGCAACCCAGGGATGGCACGTCATCAAGAAGCAAAGAAAAGACTTCTCCTAACCATAAGAGCGTCGTTGTTGCCGAAGAAAAACCCAGGGAAACAACAAAAACTCAGGAGAATGGCACTCATAAACTTGTTCCTTCATTTGTTCTTCGATCTAATCCAAATTACGTAAACACAACACTCCCGAAATGCGCCACAGTTGCCCCAGATAACGGTGAAACAGAACACGTTTACAACAAAATTTACATCGCCACCCAAGGTTGTCTTTCAACTACTATTTACCAGTTCTGGTCCATGATATGGCAAGAGGATGTCCGCATAATAATCATGACGACCAAAGAGATCGAACGGGGGAAAGTAAAATGTGAGCGCTATTGGCCTGATTTAAACAAAACCGAGGTGATAAAAAAATACACCATCTTTAACGAATCTGAATCCTCTACACAGGACTACACTTTGAGACGTTTTCTGGTAACGAAAAAAGACGAGCCCAACGTGAAAAGAGTTATCTATCATTTCCATTTCACTGCGTGGCCCGACCACGGTGTTCCTTCAGAGCCAGGGCGGGTTCTGAACATTCTTTTGGACGTCAATTATAGACTGCAGCAGATAATGACTGGGTCGGATCCACCGGCTCAGGCAGTAGTCTGCGTTCACTGCTCCGCTGGCATCGGTAGAACTGGCACATTTATAGTCATAGATATGATCTTGGACCAAATACGAAAGGAGGGCTTTGATTGTGAGATTGACATACACCGCACTGTACAAATGGTAAGAGATCAACGGTCTGGCATGGTACAAAACGAAGCCCAGTATAAATTTATTTACATGGCCGTGCTAGAATTTATTGAAACTGAGAAGCAGAGGGTTGGCCTGCGCCCAGAGACGACACAGGACTCGCCCCGAGTGCGATCACACCCAGTACCTTTTTTATGAATCGAGCGAGGAAAGCAAAAGGATTTTTATCTAAAGCCTTTTCAGTCGGCAGTATAGGGGTTCGTAAGTTTTAATATCTCCCAATTCGATTGTGTATTTAGTAAATGGCAAAATTTCTAATATCAGTTAAATTAGTTACTGGTAAAATCTTTCTAAATGAATTACAAACACAGAATGAAATGTCATAGTGTACAGAAGTATTTAAACAAAATATGAAATTTTGGAATTCAAAAATATTACCGATCTTTTGAAGCACCCTTAAAACAATGGCCAGTAATAATTACATTAATAATTCTTTTTTAACTTATCGTTACAGAATCTTGGTAATGTGTGAAATGACAATTAATATTCCCCACATCTTTATATATGCATTGTGACATGCGAAATACGAATGGTTGACTTAACATCTATACTTTTTCGGGGAAAACCCAACAAGCAATTTTGTTTCTTGATGTGTTTTCTAGAAAAAACAGTTCATACTTACCGAAATATTTAAAATTTAAAAAGCCCTAATAATTAGATTTTTTTAAGTAACTGGCATATTATGCTGACGGAGCCCATATAACTTTTGTCGATACTATGAAAAAGATAAAAATGTCTGGGTTTCATGTTTGTTTCCTCTTTGCTTACTCATATTCACTACTTACAAAAAAAAATAATACTTAAATACACATCACTAGTAGATTATACTATGTAATAGATACTATTTTAAAAGTTTGTACTTTATTTAAAAGAAACTAATGTTTATTACAAAAACGGCGACCTGAAATGTTTCAAATTGTTGCTTTAATATTTACTATAGGAAGTCGAGGAGTTTGGCTTCAATGTGATCTCGAATTGGATTTTAAACTAGACAGATTATATTTTTTATTTTGCGTGTTATGAGGGAATCCAGGTCTTTTTGCCACCACGGTGGCGCTACTTAGGAAAGAGGTGAAATATATGGTAGATTCCACGGCGGGGAAATTAGTTTGTTAGTAAAATGTTAATGGTTAATGTTTGTTCTGTAAAATTTTATATTAATTTGATTAGAAATGAATAAACTAAACTACGAATATACCTAAGGGTAGAAAAATTAAAAAAAGAGTTAAAAATGTGCATAAAATTACAGACCAAACTACTTTTTTTTATTTTTCTACTCTTAGGTAGGTATATTCGTAATATAGTTTATTAATTTCTATTCAAATTATATATAAAAGTTAACTTCTAATTAAAATGACTTTTTGTAACAAAAATCTTCACCTCAATCCCAACTAGCGATATCTGGTGAGCGGAAAGTTATTAGTCCCCCATTGAGGTGTTATAATATAAAATCAAGTTTAAAAAAACCGAACCAATTATTTTAATTGTCTAAATACTGCTACAATAGGGGTTGTTAACGTCTTATAAAAATAATGTATTATATCATTACAGAAATCCCAGTTTGTTGTAGACTTAAGAAAAAGTGTATTTTTACGCGCACTGCGATGATTTTGACAAAAGTTGAAAAATATTATTTGGTTGAAAATAGCCTAGCTAAAAATCCCCAAAATGTATAGCTATTATCAACGAAATCCATCATTTATAATCTTTTGTTTTGATACGATGATTGAACATTTTTGATTTTTTTTTTTGGTATTTTTTAATTGTAATAACGAGGTGCTTTATGTAAATAAATTGACTCATGTTTGCCGTGGACGATGGTGCGATATTTTATATTTTTTTTTTTTGTTTTCAAACGTACTTGTATGTTGAAAGTGGGTCATCCAGTAGTGGAATTTTTAAATAATTACGTCATCAAAATATGGTAGTTTTTAAATGAGTTTTAATTTATAACGTGCTTTTAACATTAAGGCAATGCAATTTTATCGAAATAATAAATGTAGTAGAAGTTATGTATATGGTGCGTGAATTTGTTGGTTTAATCATTATACTTCAATGGTTTAATAATTTATTATTGTTTTTTTAAAGCACATGAAAAATAAGGAATTGCTTTTCTATTTTTATATTATATAAACATTAATTTTAACCCGTGTTTGTACGGGAATAGTACATCTACCTACACACTTGTCACGAAATATGTACTTTATTTGTATGAACAAAAAGATTATTTGTTAGAACGCTACTCTAAATTATTGTCTTTATAATATAAGTCAATGGTTTATAAGTACTTTATGAAATAAACATTATATTGTATGATTATTGGTATTGCACAAATTCTGAGAAATTATTGAATTATTTTATGTTTTAAAAATATTGCATCTGTAATAGTATGAATTGTTTTCTATGTATCAATATGAAATTTAAACTAGGTGCTAAATTATGTGATCAAACTTAGATCAAAATTAAAATTCCACTGCTTGATATGTCCTGCACTATATTACGTTGTTGGCATTTTATTTATATATTCCAAATTGTAAAGCTGAGCTTATGTATTTGCATGGAGATAAAGAGAAAAAAAATATGTTATCTGCTAAAGATATATGTTGTGTTATATAATATAATAATGAATAAAATGTGATATTGCACACGTATATTTCATTTCATCATTCCAATTTCCATTCATCATTATCATTACAGCCCTTCACAAGTCCACTGCTGAACATAGGCCTCCCCCAAAGAATGCCACAAAGCACGGTCCTGAGCCACCTGCATCCATCGACTTCCTGCATATCTTACCAGGTTGTCACTCCATCTAGTGGGGGGACGCCCTACACTTCGCCTGCCGGTACGAGGCTGCCACTCGAGAACCTTTCTTCCCCATCGGTTGTCGGTTCTTCGAGCTATATGGCCGGCCCATTGCCACTTCAGCTTACTAATCCGTACTAGCCGCGTAGTGGCGGTTAAGAATATCCACTACCCCATATCTTCCCGTGGGTGTCGTAAAAGGCGACAAAGGGAAACAGACAGGAGATGAGCAGCAGCAACTTCCTGATAATAGCCAAAATGACAATAAAAAAACTGCGGTTGCCAACCCACTCGCCAAGTGTGGCAACTATGGCAATATACCCCCCATGAGCAATGACAATAATAAACGGCCTCCAGTCCCCGGCGGCCCCGCTATTCCTGGCTACGGTGGCGACCATGGTAACGGCGGGGCAGGGGGTGCTAAGAATCTCCGGTGGAGGTTCGGTTGCCACCTACGACGACTCGACCTGGCAACATACAACGCACGCACCCTGAGGACTGACGAGAAGATTGTGGAGCTGGAAGAAGAGATAGACAAGTTACGCTGGCATATTATAGGATTATCCGAAGTCGGAAGAGAGGGGGAGGACACGGTAATCCTCGATTCCGGCAACTTGCTCTATTACCGGGAGGGCGACCATCTGTCCCAAGGAGGTGTCGGATTTATCGTCCATAAGTCTCTCGTTAACAACGTTGTAAAGATTGAGAGTGTGTCGACGAGGGTTGCGTACCTTATACTCAGAATCACCAAACGGTATTCGCTGCAGGTCATACAGGTTTACGCACCAACCTCGGCACACCCCGATCAGGAGGTGGAGGAAATGTATGAGGATATCTCTAGAGCCATGCATTCCTCCAAAACCCAATATACGGTGTTAATGGGAGACTTCAATGCAAAAGTAGTCACAAGAGAGAATGGTGAGCTGAAAGTAGGGAAATTTGGAATAGGGCAACGGAACCCAAGGGGCCAGCAGTTGGCTGACTTCATGGAGAAAGAGGGACTCTCTATGATGAACTCTTTCTTCCAGAAGCGGCCCCACAGGAAGTGGACCTGGTCGAGCCCCGACGGTTCGACAAAAAATGGGATTGACTTCATTATGACGACCAGACGACAACTGTTCAGTGATGTCTCAGTGATCGCGAGGGTGAAAACCGGCAGCGATCACCGAATGGTTAGAGGCACACTGAACCTAAACGTTAAGTTGGAGAGGTCTCGTCTAATGAAGTCAACGCTCCGTCGCCCTCGTGTTCTAATCCAAAGTCCCGAAACCTTTCAGCTCGAGTTACAAAACCGTTTTCAGTGCCTAGAAGACTGCAATTAGGTGGACGATTTGAATGACAAGCTCGTGGAAACTGTCCATGCGGTCGGAGCTAAGTTCTGCAAGACCCGCCGCAGAAGAACACAAAAACTCTCCGATCACACTCTTAATCTCATGGCTGTTAGACGGTAGATGAAGCTACATTCTTCAACAGATTTAACAGCATACAGGCAACTGAACAGACAGATCTCCAAATGCATGCGGCGGGACTTACGCAACTTCAATACAGCTCGTATTGAAGAAGCGATCGAGCGGAACCAAGGCTCCAAAGTCTTTGCCAGAGATCTGTCTGCCAGAAAGCGCCAACTGTCAAAGCTGAAGACAGAATGTGGCAGCATCGTTTCCGTTCACCTGAGATTTTGAGTGAGATTGAGAGGTTCTATGGGCAGCTGTACACTTCATCGTTGGAGCCGCACGCAAGTGTGAGTAACGATCCAAGAGCGAGTCTTATCCGACATTATTCCGATGATATCCCGGACGTCAGTCTGAGCGAGATTAGAATGGCTCTCCAGCACCTTAAAAACGGTAAGGCCCCAGACGAGGATGGAATTACAGCGGAGCTTCTGAAAGCGGGTGGAAAACCGGTACTTGAAGTCCTTCAGAAGCTCTTTAATTCCGTCCTCCATGGTGGCATTACACCGGAGGCGTGGAGCAGGAGTGCGGTGGTCTTGTTCTGCAAGAAAGGCGACAACGCTCTCTTGAAGAACTACAGACCGATTTCCCTTCTGAGCCGCGTCTACGTGCTGTTTTCGAGAGTCATTACGAATCGTCTCGCGCGCAGACTTGACGACTTCCAGCCTCCCGAACAAGCCGGTTTCCGAAAAGGCTTTAGCACCATAGACCACATACATACCCTTCGGCAAATTGTACAGAAGTCCGCGGAGTACAATTTGCCACTATGTCTGGCGTATGTGGACTATGAGAAAGCCTTTGATTCCGTCGAAATTTGGGCGGTGCTGCAGTCCCTTCAGCGATGCCAAGTTGACTGTCGGTATATCGAAGTGTTGAAGTGCTTGTACAGTAGGGCTACGATGGCTATCCGAGTACAGAACCAGAGTACGAAACCTATCCAATTGCAGAGAGGTGTAAGACAGGGTGACGTCATCTCCCCGAAACTCTTTACCGCTGCATTGGAAGATGTTTTCAAGCTTCTGGACTGGAAAGGATACGGTATCAACATCAATGGCGAGTACATCACTCACCTTCGATTTGCCGACGATATAGTCCTTATGGCAGAATCGCTGGAGGACCTAAGCACTGTGCTCAATGACCTCAATAGTGTTTCCCAACGGATAGGTCTTAAGACGAACATGGACAAAACAAAGATCATGTTTAATGTCCATGTCACACCTATGCCGGTAGTTGTTGGGAACACTAAGCTCGAAGTTGTTGACGAGTATGTTTACCTGGGACAAATAGTCCGACTAGGTAAGTCCAACTTCGACCGAGAGGTCAATCGACGGATTCAACTCGGTTGAGCAGCGTTCGGGAAATTACGGCACATCTTCTCGTCAGGTATACCTCAAAACTTGAAAACGAGACTGTACACCCAGTGCGTGTTGCCAGTGATGACATACGGATCTGAGACGTGGTCCTTCACTGCTGGCCGGATGAGGCAGCTCAAGGTCGCTCAGCGCTAAATTTTGTGATCAAACTTAGATCAAAATTAAAATTCCACTGCTTGATATGTCCTGCACTATATTACGTTGTTGGCATTTTATTTATATATTCAAAATTGTAAAGCTGAGCTTATGTATTTGCATGGAGATAAAGAGAAAAAAAATATGTTATCTGCTAAAGATATATGTTGTGTTATATAATATAATAATGAATAAAATGTGATATTGCACACGTATATTTCATTTCATCATTCCAATTTCCATTATTTATACTTATTATACGTCACACTGCTGGGCACAGGCCTTCTCATCGATATATATGTACTACGCACTAGATTTCGCATTCCGAACATTGACTATGTTCAACTGAACTGTACTGCAATCCGTACACTAAACTAAATATTGCGTAAATTGAAGATTTTGTGAATATAGATAGAATAAGATAATTATTATTACTTTGTGTTTAGAAATATGTTTGTTTAGATTAAAATAAGGGTATTTTATATTAAATTCTTATATTTATTTTGTATTAATATCTTATTTTATATTAAATTGAAGTCTTCGCGCGTGCGCGACTCTACTATCTCCCGCGCATGCGCGAAGACAGAGTAGTGCACAATTTTTGTATGTAATAGCTTCTCTAGTACGTAGTACATAATATAACTCAACGCCTCCTCTCATTTCTGAGAGGGTTTTAGGGCAAGGAAATGTCCGAAGCGCTGCCCCAATGCGTGTTCACATGTCATCGAAAAATTTTTTCCCTATTCTTGAGACATGCAGGTTTCCTCAGGATGTTTGCCTTCATTGCCGGGCACGTGGTGAATCAGCACTTGAAATTGCAATTAACAATTTCATTGGTGCCGGCGGGAATCGAACCCGGGTTGCTCGCGTGCTGTGAAATTTACAGCGAGTGTTTAGCCCGTGAGTTACCACGGCAATATGAAAGCATTACACTATTTGTTGTGAGTTGACAACAAAGCAATTAGACCAGCAATAATCACAGCTGACAGTTACGCCAAATCCAACTATAGGAAAGGTACAGATGTGGCCTTTTTTATAGAATAAGGGTAACAAACGAGCACACAGTCCACCTGATGGTAAGTGGTTGCTGTGACCCATAGACATCTACATTTATCCTCAATAAAGCATCAAAATGCAGATGCGTCGTTACCCGTGAGGACTAAGATGGAATGCCTCTTTTCGAGTAAAAAGAGTCTCCGGTTCTCCACACTCACCATACGAAACACAGCAGTATCAAGCTGCCGTTTTACGCTGGTATTCTGTGAGCGTGGTCCTTCCCGGTCGAGCCGACCCATTCGTGCTAGAGCCAATAGTGGTAGAGCCACGCGGCAGCTTTTGCTGTCGCACGGATGGGCCGGCTCGAACCGGGGTGGTACCACGACCTCACAGAAAACCAGCGTGAAGTAGAGGTTTACCTCTGCGTTTCGCTTGGTGAGTGCAGGTGGCCGGAGGCTCTTTTTACTGGAAATGAGGCATTCCATCTTAGTCCTCACGGGTGACAACGCATCTACATTTTGATTTGTAATAGAGGATAGATGTAGATGTCTATGGGTCACAGCAACCACTTACCATCAGGTGGACTGTGTGCTCGTTTGTCACCCTTATCCTATAAAAAAAAAAACATTTATGCTACTAATATAGCTGCAGCATAGCTCTACCACGTACAAAAAAATGTACGTGGCCTGAGGATAAGTTGACGGTAGTGGCTCTACTGGTTATAAGAATGCAACCAGAAGTATTCGCCGAGTCAGGATAATAGTCTTGCGATGGAGTCGTGAATACAAACATAGGACATGATTCATTTTTCATACATTTTTCGTCCAAATTTCAAAGTTCCTAACGATTCTTTTGAAAAATGTTTGTACCTACTTTAGACGTGATACGTTCATAAACAGACAGACAGACGGACAATTATAAAAATGTATTAAATTACTTACTTTTTATTTATATCCATCATTTTTGCCACAAAAATATACAATGTACAGACATTTGCAATTTACATTTTATTATATATAGAAGATAGATATAAAAATAGAATACCTATTATAGTTGGTACCACATTCGGTGTAATAAAACACGTTTTAAAACCAAAAGTATAATTGTATGTTTTATTAGATTACACAAACAAAATTATTTTTCATTAGTTACAGACAAACTTTTTTGGGATTTACCAAAGTAACTCGATATAACCTTTCTAACAGCGAGCCGTTTGTTTTGCGATGAACTTTCACCTTGGTTATAATTTGAAGTTTTGTTCCAATGTTCTGCAAAGCTTTGCCGCCTGAATACTTTCCCTAGGGACTGCCATTTTTGTTCCGGGCTTAGTTCTTTATCGTGGAATGTTTCTTTTCTGTCAGAAGGTCGATCACCCTATTGTACAGAACGTAATTATTAATATCCTTAATTAGTGAGTATATAAAATAAATGCATGTAATGTCCAATAGCCTATATATGTCCCACGGTTGGGCACAAGTGTCCTCTCATTTCTTAAGTTTCTGGAGCAGGATAGGTACGCCCCTCTACTGTAATACGTATTCGCGAAATTTAGTCCTCGATAATAAATATTTCCTACTTCACAGACAAAGGCTAGATAAGAAGGCTTCCCCAAGATGTCTAAATAGTTAAATTTTAAACCTCATTCCATATTTTAATAACCCTTACTGGTAGATTTTTTTCTTCTCAACTGGGACCGTCCCTCTAAGTTATAGCATTCATTAAAATCGGTTCAAAATTTTATTTTTATTACTTACAATTAAATAAAAAAACATAGTCAAATATATCTCCTCTCTTTTAAAAGTATATCTTCACCGCCGAACACGTGGCGTAAATTTTTTCGGTGGGGTGGGTTGATGGGGGTTTCTTCTTCCCAGTAGATACATATTATAATGGTAAAATTACTGGGAATTTTCGTCTTGATTATTTTGAAGTGAGAAACCAGGCGATCTTTTTCTATCCAACTTTCATTTCGTCTGCATATATTTGTTAATGTATATGTTTTGGCATAACTTCTTTGATTAAGAACCGATTTTAATGATTATTTTTTTATTGAAATATTTTAAATTATTAATTTACTAACTACAAAAACCGACCGGTTTCGCTTCACGGCTTCATCAGGATTCTTTTTTCACTAAATAGTTTATATCTCAGAGGTGTCTGGGGTGATCTATATGATCTGAGTGGTCTCATATAAAATTGAATAAAAAACTTCATCCCTAAGATAGACTAAGTTAGGTAAAGGTAATATGGTCACCTTAAGCTTTGCCGCCATATAAAATCAATACTAGGCGAAGGCTAGAGACAAAAACACAAAGTAGAATACTATAACTAATATATTAAGGATATAATAGCATACAAGCATTGGCAATAATTCAGAACACTCCTAAAAATCAATTTAAAAAAACTAAGTACACTACACAATACTAAAAGCGACTAAATATTTACCATAATGTCAACTGCCATAATGGCGTCGATAAAGCAGCGGCCTTTTGACCTTTTATTATTTGATTGACTGATGAACTATCGTATCACAGAACCATCTATGCAAACAAGGCTGTAGTTTTTGATTTATAAGAAAGTGACCATATTAACCGGATGACCATATTTCCCTCACATACTATATTTATATACTTATTCATATTTAGACCACGTTCTAGTAAACAACTGTGGTTATTTTAAACACGTGTTATGGCTTAGTCCACTTATAAGAGTAAACATAAAAAAAGTAGTTAAAAACTTTAAAACTTAATTTAAAAAGTACTGCTATATGAGTACTCATGTTGTAGTACCAACCTCAAAAACTAAAAGATTAATTTCTACATAATAGCTCCTGAAGGTTTTAACTCATTATATTTAATCAGCCCATATGTCCTTTTAGTTGCAGTAATAGGTAAGAGTATAATAATTTATCACGTGTGATTGATAACAAACTGCCTCCCTATAATTGGAGAGACCGTTATCCAGCGGTAGACTTTCATGGGCTAAAACAGAAGGAACTAACTGTAACTTGATACGGTATTTAGGTACTACTTACGTCATTCGATTTAGTTGATCGAAGTTGACCACGGAAGAAGTTAGATATGGATTTCTTCCAATTCCTAGGACTTTTTAGAGAATTTAATTCTAAGCTACTAGGACCATCTGCCGGCACTTGATTTTTCTTCCGAAAGGTCTCGTCTTCTTTTTTTATAGAATCGTTTTGATGTGGAGCACCCTCAGGGCATATCATTTTAATGTTTTATTGCTGTTGTTTAAGTATTTAATTTGTAATTATGGTATTATATTTAAAAACTTTTATAAATGTTTATAAGTGTCTGTCATATATTTTTGGGTCATTTGTTTGAAATTAATGTCAAAATTTAAATAAAGAATGAATTTTTTTTAAATAACGATATGGCCATATCCACCTTCTTAGCAAAAGACAAGTAAACAATAGATAATATTAATAAATCTTTTAATCAATTAACAGTAATAGTTGTACGTGGTAGAGCCATGCTGCAGTTATATTAATAGTTTAGTTGTAGCACGAATGGGTCGGCTCGACCGGGGAAGGACCACGCTCTCACAGAATACCAGCGTCAAATAGCAGCTTAATGCTGCTGTGTTTCGTATGGTGAGTGTAGAGAACCGGAGACCCTTTTTTCGGGAAAAGAGGCATTCCATCTTAGTCCTCACGGCTGACAACGCATCTGCATATTGATTCGCAAACGAAGATAGATGTAGATGTCTATGGGCCACAGCAACCACTTACTATCAGGTGGACTGTGTGCTCGTTTGTCACCCTTATTCTATTAAAAAAAAAACTGTTAATGAAAATATATATAATAATATATATATTCAATTTAGTACAAAATCACGTTGAACTAATCGGTTGTACTAAAAGTATAAGGCTTATGATATTTGGATTTGAACGGTTGTTTCGCCGCGGGAATCCGTCGTAAGCCGTCACAGACACAATTCAATATGAAAATCGCCTTTACAGACCATCACAAGTGCACTGCTGAAAAAAGGCCTCTCCCATATATTGCCTCAAGGCACGGACTTCATCAGGTAACCAACACAGTAGAGAAATAATTGTACTAATAAAATTAAAAGGTATTTTTTTTTATTAAAATAATTTTATTTTTTACTCAAGTCTAAAACTTTCAAACTTACAAATTTGTTGCAGCGCGGTCGTTGACGAAACTTTTGGACAGCTAGCTTGAATGGCGTATCTGTCTACAGAGCTTACCTGCTGATACCTACCTATTGTGTCGAGACACGAAAAAGTAAATTAATACGAAATTAAACAAAATCAATTATTTTAATTTTTCCGACTCTACAATCGCTTTTGACAGCGAAATTATGTGCGATAAAGTTCTTGCGCATTTAAAAAATTAACAGAAGGTAGGTCATCTTTGTGGTATGTGGTCGTTTGTCACCCTTCTTCTATGAAAAAAAAAACACAGACCTTTCCTACTGACTCAGGAGCACGATTCAGGAGCGGGAGAGTTTTGGAGGAAACTTGACCAGAGACAGATTACTCCACCTGTACCTTTGTTTAAATAATGGTTTGAAGTAGATTATGATATGTAAAAGTGGTGCGATTTTGTGTATTAAATGTCTGCGCTTGTGAATTATTGGTGGAAACGGTGAAGCAAGTGCTCCGATGGTGATGTAAATCTCAAGATAAGGTGACAAGTTGACGTCAGTCTCATTATCCGGCGTGAAGCAAATCCACCCCCATGGGTAGGATGCAAAAAAAGCCCGCATCCCATCTCAATCTGCTGACCTATAATTCCACATACGACGACAGCCTGCATCAGGCTCAGGATCAGGCAGTGATCCGAAGGACAAGAGGGGCATCGACGGAGACCTCATATCCGTCCGGATGAGAGGTCAACAGAACGACCATCAGGGAAGGTGCATAATCCTCCACATCTGAAATCAGCGTAGGCGAAGTGACCAGTTGTGTCAGACCATATGCCAAATCAAAGTCGTAAGTCCCCGTATTACCAGAGAAGAGAGAGAGAGAGAAGAGAACCGAACCATTCACCGTATCGCTCAAAGGAAATCGGAAAAAGTTCTTCAAGAGAGTGTTGTCACCTTTCTCGAAGAACAAGAACACCGCACTTCTGCTCCACGCGTCCGGTGTATTGCCACCATGGAGGACGGAATTAAAGAGCTTCTGAAGGACTTCAAGTACCGGTTTTCCACCCGCTTTCAGAAGTTCCCCTGTAATTCTATCCTCGCCTGGGGCCTTGGCGTTTTTAAGGTGCTGGAGAGCCATTCTAATCTCGCTCAGACTGATGTCCGGGATATCTTCGGAATAGTGTCGGATAAGACTCGCTCTTGGATCGTTACTCACACTTGCGTGTGGCTCCAACGATGACGCCCATAGAACCTCTCAATCTCACTCAAAATCTCAGGTGCCCCGGAAACGATGCTGCCACACTCGGTCTTCAGCTTTGACAGTTCGCTCTTTCTGGCAGAGAGATCTCTGGCAAAGACTTTGGGGCCTTGGTTCCGCTCGATCGCTTCTTCAATACAAGCTGTATTGAAGTTGCGTAAGTCCCGCCGCATGCATTTAGAGATCTGTCTGTTCAGTTGCCTGTATGCTGTCAAATCTGTTGGAGAATGTAGCTTCATCTCCCGTCTAACAGCTATGAGATTGAGAGTGTGATCGGAGAGTTTTCGTGTTCTTCTGCGGCGGGTCTTGCAGAACTTAGCTCCGACCGCATGAACAGTTTCCACGAGCTTGTCATTCATATCGTCCACTTGATTGCAGTCTTCTAGACACTGAAAACGGTTTTGTAACTCGAGCTGAAATGTTTCGGGACTTTGGAACAGAGCACGAGGAGGACGGAGCGTTGACTTCATTAGACGAGACCTCTCCAACTTAACGTTTAGGTTCAGTGTGCGTCTAACCATTCGGTGATCGCTACCAGTTTCCACCCTCGCGATCACGGAGATATCACTGAACAGTTGTCGTCTGGTCGTCATAATGAAGTCAATCTCAGTTTTTGTGGAACCGTCGGGGCTCGACCAGGTCCACTTCCTGTGGGGCCGCTGCTGGCCCCTTGGGTTCCGTTGCCCTATTCCAAATTTTCCTACTTTCAGCTCACCGTTCTCTCTTGTGCCTAGTTTTGTGGACGATAAATCCGACACCTCCTTGGGACAGATGGTCGCCCTCCCAGTGATAGATCAAGTTACCGGATTCGAGGATTACCGTGTCTTTCCCCTCTTTTCGGACCTCGGATAATCCTAAGATATTCCAGCGCAACTTGTCTATCTCTTCTTCCATCTCCAGAATCTTCTCGTCAGTCCTCAGGGTGCGTGCGTTGTATGTTGCCAGGTCGAGTCGTATTAGGTGGCAACCGAGCCTCCACCGGAGATTCTTAGCACCCCCTGCGCCGCCGTTACCATGGTCGCCACCGTAGCCAGGAATAGCGGGGCCGCCGGGGACTGGGGGCCATTTCTTTGTTACTTTCATCATAGGGGGGTTATTGCCATAGTTGCCACGCTTGGCGAGCGGGTTGGCAACCGCAGTTCTTTTATTGTAAGTTTGTTGTTATCAAGAAGATGCTGCTGCCCATCTCCTGTCTGTTTCCCTTTGTCGCCTTTTACGACACCCACGGGAAGATATGGGGTAGTGGATATTCTTAACCGCCACTACACGGCACGCCACTACACAGTACGCCGATAATCAAGTCATATTTGCTTCGTCGGCGACCGAGTTGCAAATGATGGTTACATTAATGAACAGGACATTAAAAGAAAAGGGAATGAAAGTGAACGCAAGCAAGACGAAAGTTATGGTTTTTGAAAGAGAAGAAAAAACGATATGTGAAATTAGAATAGAAGGGGTTTAGCTAGTAGATGAGTTTGTGTATTTGAGATGTGTATTTAGTAGGGATGGTAGATATGATAAGGATATAGAACGACGATTGAATGCAGGAAATAGAGTAAATGGGGCTCTACAATCTATTATGAGAAGTCAGAATGTGTCTAAAAAGGCACGTATGGCAATTCACAATGCTGTGTTAGTCCCTACTTTGTATGGTAGTGAAAGTTGGGTGTGGCAGAAGAAGCACGAGAGTAGAATAAATGCTGTAGAAATGCGGCCATTAAGGAGTATGCTAGGGATGAATCTGTATGATAGAGTGAGAAATTGTTTGATAAGAGAAGAGTGTGGTTTGCAAGATAATGTTGTGACCAGGATTAAGAAAGGAATGCTTCGGTGGTTTGTTCATGTAGAAAGAATAAATGAGGAAAGAGTGACAAAGCAAATGTAAATGGTAGAGTCGGCAAGGGACGCCCTAGGCGAAAGTTTATCGACCAAATTGGCAATATATTGAAAATGGGCCAAATCAAGAGTACTTTTAACAGACTAGCGTGTATGCGTAGGTATATGGATGTGGAGGAAACAAGAGAGATATGTCAGGATCGTGCTAAATGGAAATCCATAGTCTCTGACTACCCCTCTGGGTGACAGGCGTGAGTGTTTATGATAATAACACTCATACATTATTACTGATAAAAGCGGCGTAGCTCACGTATATAGGTTTTACTTAAAGAATAAGTGGTAACAAAATAAATCGTTATTCTCAAAGTTCTGAGTCGTTAGTGATAGAACTGCTGTGTAAACGACGTTAGAAGTAGACAGCCGGGGCGTACGGGAAAAGGTTACGGGAGCTATTAACGCGGAAAAAAGCAACATAGAGTTGGCCATGTACAAACCAGTCAGTACTGAGGTTCACTCCTGCAACGCGTAAAGTAAAGTTTGACCTTGCGCTTTATTTACGGTCATCGCATAACACACGCTGACTGGGAAGTGGGAACAGAACACGCTTAAAACTGAAAGGAAAGTTATTTGGTATAAGATGGATTCTGGGTATAAAACAACATCATGACATTTTGTTTTGTTGCAATTTTGCTACTTTTAGTCGAGTTTTGTTGCATAGCTTGGGCATACGTATCTTTTTTTTATTTCTGTTTCTGACGATGTTTGTGCTGTTCGCCTACACGGCTCTACTAGCTTCAATGGACTCGTGAATGTAAATTACTTTCTCAATACGATTCACCGGTAAAAAATCTTAACACCGCAATTCAGAAAAGGTTGTAATTTGTACAACGCCATCTATTACGTTCTTTGTGAGAAAACATCATTTTTTTAGTTTAAGGTAAACATACTTTTTTTGTTTACTGTGTTTTAAGTATAAATATATTATAATAGAACGTTTTTCTTTACATACGAATCTTTTTATTACTATTTCTGAGATTTTATGGCGCCATTAAATAAATTAGAACCTACATTTCAAAATAATAATCATAACTTTCCACGTTTCTGTTTATCGCAAGCAGCTTAAATGGCTCCCAATCCGCCTTCGCCGGAACACTCGTATCCTCTATCTTCTTTTCAATATTCTACATAATCCTTCTATTCCGCTATATCTAAAAAATCGTTTTACTTTTGTTCGTTCTCCAGATGTACCATGTAGGTCAAATACTAGAACATTGTTAAGATTTCCGTCTTTCAATACCATGCTCTATTCTCATTCTTTTTCTGTTAACGCAGTACGATTGTGGAATTCACTTCCCTTTAGGATTCGTGATGCTAAATCGGTGTCTATGTTTAAAAGACTTGTTAAAGAGCACTATCACTCACTCCATAATTACTAAATCGTAATGTGTTGGTATGCATATAAGTAACATTAAAATATATATTGAATTATATATATTTTTTATAATATATAATATTTATTTATATATGTATATACGTATATATATAAGTTTGTATATATTTGTATAGTATATGTATATTTATGCAAGTGCACACTTTGACTACCTCTATTTCCTTCAACTATCCTTCAATAGGCCTGCTGGAAGAAATTTCATCATGGAATAAGCAGTGCCTTTGTACATAATTATGTTTTTACCATTTTCTTATCAAATTATGTGTGTACATAAACTGTTAAATAAATAAATAAATAAATAAACTTTCGATAGAATTAACCAATTTCAATAAAACAAAGATTAAATGAACTGGAAGATACGCTTTATGATTTTCTTAACGATTTCTTTGTAAAAAAGATGTTTACCTAAGACGTGATGCGTTCATAAACAAACAGACAGGCAGACTTATTTAATGAATTTCAGTCTCCCTAATGGTTTTAGTTACAAATTAATATACTTAACAATGTACAGAAACAGACACAGCATGTTAACACCATTTTTATTACATGTATAGAGATTTAAAGATAGACGGCGCTGTTAAAATCAATTCTAAAGATAAAAGAACTTAATTGACGCGATTGATACAATATAAAAAACATAAAAGAACTTATAAATCAGTTCCTGCATAGTAAGTAAAAAAGAAAGTTTGATCCTCGCCGAAACCAACGAAATTGTTATTTGCTCTTTTAAATTTGGATTTAGCACATAGAGTACTCGGCGGTAAAGAATAAATGAGATTGTCAACACACAGTAGGGCAACAAGTAATATAAAGATTAACAGCAAATATGAAAACTCATCTACAGGAAAAACTACAACCTGCCTTTTTGTATTACATATGTGCAACACCACCATCTATCGATGAAATGGGTTAACTATTGTACTTTAGATTTAGATAATAAGGTTAATATATTTTTGTATATATTTATTACGTTCTTTATGTAATACTTTTGTTTACTGCGTTTTAGATATAATTATATAATTATAGAACATTATTTTACATCATTTAATTATGATTTATAATATGATATTAGTTTATAATGTACTTGATGACTCAACGAACGCTACCATTGAACAAATTCGTACCTATACTTCGTACACATACTTCAGAATATTTATCATAACTTTTGATGGAATGAACTGATGTTAATGAAATAAAGACATATAAAATGTACACACATCGGCTATTTACATTTTTATTATATCTATGTATAGATAGATTAACAAATACAAATAAATGAATTACTAGCGTCTATTAAAATGAAGCGTCATTTAAAATAAAATAATATTTCTTTCATGGCAAGATAAGAAAAGGTGCGAGGGAAATTGATATTATTCCATATCGCTTCCTTATAGCCGCCAAGGCCGTCTACACTACGTCAGAAGGGGTCGTTACGGAAAAATCTTAGGCCGGCCACATACATACGGAATTCCGTTTCGATATTCCGATTCGGGATTCCGAACGCAGCAAGTCCATATAAAATCTATGACCCGCCACACACGAACGATAATTTTCCGTACGGAATGTTCTCCGATTCGAGATTCTGTATGACCGCCTGTGCGTTCGGAATCCCGAACGGAAAAAAGCCGCTCCGAACACAAGTCTACCATAGATTTTGTGTCAGTTGCAACAAACATTCGTAAATTTCGTACGGAACGCGCTCAGTGTTCGTCGCACGATTTGATGAAAGATGGTACATATTTATTCTTTTTTTTTCTTCAGCCTATAAAAGTTTACAGCTGGACATGGGTCCGGATAAGAGTGGGGAGGCGGCCGCCGCGCTGTCCCAGTGCATAGTGGCGGCATCAATCTAGATACTCGTATATAATTACTACTCAAATCGTCGAACTGCCGTCATTTCTTTGGAAATTCGCAATAAACTGATCAATAAAATCATCATCATCATCATTACAGCCAGTTCTTGTACACTGCTGAACTTAGGCTTCCCCCTAAGGAACGCCACAAAGCACAGTCCGGAGCCACCTGCATTTTTTATGGGATATGGGTGACAAGCGGGCACACAGTCCACCTGATGGTAAGTGGTTGCTGTGGCCCCATAGACATCTGCTATCCTCGTTTGCGCATCAAAATGCAGATGCGTTGTCAGGCGTGAGGACTAAGATGGAATGCCTCTTTTCCAGTAAAAAAGGTATCCGGTTCTCTACTCTCGCTATACGAAACACAGTATTAAGCTGCTTAATTATAATAAATTGTCTCGTGTTTTTTTTTATAGGCTAGGGACAAATGAACACAGTCCACTTGATGGTAAGTGGTTGTTGTGATCCATAGAGATCTACACCTGTCCTCAATAAATAATCATAATACAGATGCATTGTCACCCGTGAGGACTAAGATGGAATGTCTCTTTTCCAGTAGTAAAAAGGGTATTCGGTTGTCTATACTCACCATACGAACCACAGCAGTGTTAAGCTGTATTTTACGCTGGTATTCTGTGAGAGTGTGGTCCTTACCCGGTCGAGCCGACCCATTTGTGCTACAGCTATACTACTAATACTATAGCTGCAGCATGGCTCTACCACGTATAAAAATCGTGTGAACTAATCTTAACAATACTTCCAGTATGTTATCTATTTCCAGTGTGTTATTGTGCGTTACAAGTTCCCGTGTGTGATGGTACATTTTCTGTGAGCCCAAACCAAAATACTTTTTTTGTTCTTTTTTTTTTTGTTTCGTCTTTATAATTATTTATTACCTACAGCTTACAAGCGTTTCGAATAAAAGCACATAAACGTACTCAAGGCAAAATATGATTACTTTATTGGCACTGGTATATTATAAATAAGCAAAGACATTTAAATGCATACATATACGAGCGATATTGATAAGCTCTTGTTAAAAAGGAGTATGCACCGAGTACTTTTTTTATATAGGGAAGTAGTATGCTGAGGTAGTATCACTAAATACTCGTATTATTTATTACAATTCCTTGTTGATAAGTTACCAAGCAACCAAGTCTAAATGTTCATTGTTCAGTTAAGATTACAATAGTGACTTTGTAATTGATTTGGCCTCTCCTGAGCAAATTAGAACCATTCTGGTGATTCAGTAGGAATGGAAAGTATTAAAGAAGAGAACATTCATCATACAGCCTTAAAATTAGCTGAAGAAATTAAAAACCTTTCTATTTATAAATCATTTTACAGCGATATACAGGTAAACAAGAATAAAAATTCTTTATATAACAACTTATGTAATAAATACTGTATTAAATATCTGTTACGTTGTTAACAACAGAAATTAGTTTCATCCCCGAATGTCAAAAAAGAAGATTTTAAACAAACTCTGCAGCAAGCCATGAAAGAAAAGGGCTTAGAAACGAAACTGAGAAACACTATTTATCATTTGGTGCGGGCACAGAATAAACAAACGGTAAGTTCAGTTTTAAATTAAATCCAAGTTTTTGTTAAGAATTACTTCTTATAATATTATGATTTAAGGATCCAGAGTAGACTACCTGAGTATCCAGAGTGTACCATTAGGTACTTTCTTTCAGAAACTAGATCCTTTGACAACATTGTCGAAAGCCAGTGCTCAGTGGGAGAAAAGGATTCATAAATCCCTAAATTCAATGTGTTCTGACCTGGAAACTTCATTGGCAAAATTAAGACCGCAAAGTGAACAAGAGGAAATAGCAGAAAAGTGGCAAGAACTGAGCACGTATAACTTGGGTACGTAGACATTTTTATTCTAATGTCCTTGTCCTAGCTTATTTTGGGAATAGTGCTATCTTCTGAATAGGTTCGAAAGCTACTCGCAATACCTACGAAGGGAAAAAATTATATAATATATACTAGATAGCTGGGCTTCTTTTTTTACCTCAGACTAACAATGAAGATAGACGGAGCGCTGTATACATTTCAAGTAATGTCGTAACCAAACTTCTTGACAAGCACTCACGCACACATAATTCTTTCTTTCTTTATCATCCAATATTATAATCCTAAAGTCCTAAACCATGATATATTTGTTCCAAATGTTTGACGTTCTTAGAATAAGGTGAACATGATTTAGGTTTGGTTTAAACGTTTTTTAAAATCTTTGTTTAATGATTTCTTATATTTACGTGAACACTACACACTGAATAAAACTACTTTTACGGATTTTATCGCGTTTAATTAACTCATTTGATTATTTTTCCCGACGTTTCGGAGAACACATAGCTGACGTGAAGCACCAACGTTCCGGGAAGTCTGCAGTTTGTAATCATATCCTAGACGGCCTCCGCCATTACATTAGATTTGATAAACCACAAATTCTCGCGAAAGAACATCGATTCCTGCTACATGAGGCTATTAAAATTTAAAAAAACATTCTAATTTCAATAGAGAGGGAGGCTGGGTACTACCACCTGCTTGGGATCCTGTAATTAATAAAATTAAAACTAAACCCAAGCATACCACTGCAAGACTTCGAGATACAGTAAGCTCATTCTGCGTAGATCGGACCAAAATTAATAATTAAAAACTTTTTTAATTATTAATTTTGGTCAGAGTTAATCCCGAGAAGGTACTCGGGATTAACTCTGACATCGGGATGTCAATCACCTCAGTCCCTCGTGACCATGGGTGCTGGAAAGCACCCGAAACGTCTGGAATTAATAAAAATAAGCAAAATAAGTTAATGAAACGCGATAAAATCCGTAAAAATAGTTTTATTCAATCTTTGTTTAAATTTTGCAACGCTATACAATATTATCCTGATTCCGTTCCGATTATATAAGAAAGTCATTACCGTGGCAAAAATACGCCTGAAGTTCACTGCAGATCATCATTCGCTACCCAATTATCGCAACGCCGTGCTTGGGCTAGGATGGCGACTGTCAGGCCTGATCGTGATTTACGTCGCGCCATGGGGCAATAGCATTTAACATTATTTACGCAAACAAATTGTTTTCGGGCGTTTGAAAAAATAAAGTCGCTAGACATTACACTAACCAAGGGTTGAAAAAATCTCTCTGTGTAGTCTTAGTAATTTTTTTATAATGTTAGTGTTTTTTGTTTTTTTTTTTTTTAATAGGAAAAGGGCAATCGAGCATGCGGCTCACCTGATGATAAGTGACTACCGCTGCCCATGAACAACTGCAACACCAGGGAAATTGCCGATGCGTTGCCGGCCTTTTAAAAAGTAGGAGCTCTTTTCTTGAAGGTCCCTAAGTCGTATCGGTCCGGAAAAATCGCACAGTGGTGGACTACCAATCATCCAGATGGTATGGATGGTATCGCGAGTTTTGTCGCGATGTGCGATGGTGAAAGTGAGCGGTTGGAATTAGTCCGAACAATTCCTCAGAGCACTGCCCGTGACAAATGTGATAAATGAACTAAGAATTTACCTTAACTACTGCAGCCCATGGAATAGAATAGAATAGAATAGAATGATTTTTATTCAATATGGATTATTACATAATACTTATTGAAAGTCATTATTTTATTTACCACTGGTTCGGAAAATACCTCTGTCCTGGGAAGAACCAGCAAGAAACCCAGCGGGACTTTTTTTTTTAAACATAATTTCACTTAACAATAATTTTGATTATACAATTTTAAATGAATTTTCATAGAACCAGCATGGTGGCGATCACCTTATTCCCAGGGGTTATTTTCACTCATGTATTCCTTGATATTATAATAACCCTTTTTGTACAGTTTTTCTTTAATAAAACTTTTAAACTTGTTTATTGACAAACTTTGAACATGTTCTGGGATTCTGTTGTAAAAGCGTATACATTGCCCCATAAATGAATTACTAATTCTGTGGAGTCTTGTAAGTGGCATTACAAGCTTATGTTTGTTCCTAGTGTTTAAGGTATGAACATCCTTATTCTTATTAAAGCTATTTATGTTTTTATGTACATACATTACATTTTCATAAATATATTGCGATGCCAAAGTTAATATGTTTATTTCTTTAAATTTTTCTCTAAGGGACTCTTTACAATTTAGATTATAAATCGCCCGTACGGCTCTCTTTTGCAAAACAAATATAGCTTCAATATCAGTCGCATTAACCCATAGCAAAATTCCATAAGACATTACGCTATGAAAGTAACTAAAATACACTAACCTAGCTGTCTCAACATCTGTGAGACTTCTAATCTTTCTTACAGCATATGCTGCAGAACTAAGTCTGCTTGCTAATTTAGATATATGGGGGCCCCATTGAAGTTTCGCGTCAATAGTAATACCGAGAAAAACAGTGGTATCCACAAGACTCAACTCCTCCCCATTTAAGAGCACATTGGTTTTCGAATGTTTTACATTAGGTATTGTAAATTTAATACATTTTGTCTTATTGCCGTTTAAGAGCAAATTGTTGACGTTAAACCAATGTACTAGTTTCGATAGAGCATTATTTACATCGTCATATTTAATTGACTGCCGTTTCAGTTTGAAAATTAAAGAGGTATCGTCAGCAAATAATACTATATCGTGATTGTCCCCTACAAGATAAGGTAAGTCATTAATATAGATTAAGAACAGGAATGGGCCAAGAATCGAGCCCTGAGGAACGCCCATTGATACTACCGATCCGGAGGAACATTTACCATTAATGACGACTTTTTGAGTTCTGTTATTTAAATATGAAGTAATAAGTTTAAGCGCCAAATTTTTTACACCGTAATGTTGTAGTTTCCTGATTAATGTATCATGATGAACACAATCGAAAGCCTTGGAAAGGTCACAGAAAATACCTAAGGCATCTTGTGAATTCTCCCAGGCATTAAAAATATATTTCATAAGCTCAACACCGGCGTCAGACGTCGAGCGACCCCTTGTAAAACCAAATTGATTTTTATGAAGTAATTTATTTGTATTAAAAAAAATTAACAATTGATCCAAAATTATTTTTTCAAAAATTTTACTGAGAGTTGGTAGTACAGAAATAGGTCTATAATTAGCGGGGTCCAATGTACTACCAGATTTAAATAAAGGTATTACTTTACTATACTTCATTAAATCAGGAAACACACCAGAATCGATACAAGTATTAAAAATAATAGCAAGATGAGGTGCAATTAAATCTATTATGGACGTAATCACTGTAACGGAAATCCCCCACAAATCTGCGGTTTTCTTTACATCAATGGTTTTGAAGTATTTTACAATATTATGCGGTAATACTTTTTCAAATCTAAATTCTTTTAAACAGGTATTAACATTCTGTTTAAGTAATGATTCGGCGACAGTTGGAGAAGCATTCAATGACTCTGTTGTCAAGATAGGAACATCAGTGAAATATTTCTCAAACACCGCTGCAACTTCTTGATTTGATTTAGTCAATTCATTATTAATTTTTAATTGATAGTTTGAATTACGAGGTTTCTCATTACCGGTTTCGCTGTTAATTATACTCCACGTCATTTTAATTTTATTCTTAGCTGTCTTAATTTTGTTACTAATATGTAATGATTTGGCTGTGGAGCAAACTCTTTTAAACATTTTAGAATAATTTTTTACATATTCTTTAAAAGCATCGGAAAGATTATACGATCTTTCATGGTAAAGGTCATATAACCTTCGTCTGCTTTTATGAATTCCTACTGTCGCCCACTCATTAAATGCCTTGCGACTGTTTCTGGAGAATGTTTTAGAAGTGAATGTTTTATTAAATTCATTGTTTATAAAGGTAAATAATTCTCTATATAAATAGTCTGCATTGTTCTTATAAGAAAGGGATGGAAGGATTTTTAACATATTACTTCTAAATCTCTCCAGGCGTTTTGCATTAATAGGAACAAACACAATTTTCTCATTTACCTGTTTTTTGTGCATATAAGGTAACGAAACCAGTTGTCCACAGTGATCTGAACTAAGTTTTTGAATTATTGATTTGTTGATTGGTACAACACCTGTAAAAATATTATCAATACAAGTTGCACTACACCCTGCAATACGTGTAGCTTCAAAGAATAAATTATTAAGATTATAGGATTTGAACAAAGAACAGAATTTAATACTGATGGAAGAAGTTTCCAGGAGATTGATATTAAAGTCTCCACACACTACAAGAGATTTATTCTGTTTATTAAGCTTAACTAAAACTTCTTCCATAATTTTTTCAAAAGTATCATAACTTGAACATGGGGGTCTGTAAACACTGACAACAATAAGGTGCTCAAGCTCAACACATGCCATTTCTACAGTACGCTCAACAGAGAGGCTCACAATGTCTTTACGTTCTTTACATGATAAGGACTTATTAGCTAATATTAAGGAGCCACCACGTAATTTAGTATCTCTATTGAACGAACTGACCACCTGGTGATTACTGAAATTAAATATGGAGTTGTATTCTTTCAACCAATGTTCTGTAATACATAAAATATTTATACTGTTACTATTTAAAAATAATTCAATTTCTAATTCTTTGCCTAACATACCTTGTATATTTTGATGCACCAGGTTGATACAGTTTTTATTATTGTTATTTTGTAAAATTGCATAATTATGTATTGGTAAGTTGCATTCTAAGCTATTTAAATTATCTTTGCTAGAGATTACCTCTATTGTCTTATTATCTAATTTAAATTACTTGGAACTGGTTCCAAATCAAATGTAAAATTATTTTGTTGCTCAAAAGAAGCAGGTGTCAAGGTAGCCAAATCATTGGCTGAGTTAAAATATAAATAATAAGATAGCGTATCTGCTACCAGTCTTAAACTATACTTTGATAGGTAATACCTATCTCTTGTCAAAAACTTCTTAGTTAAATTATTAATATCAATTAAATGAAATTTATCATTATTATTCTTACAATTAAATGTCAAATTTAAGTTATTGTTACATGTCAAGTTATGCATCATTAAATTTAAATTATGTCTTAGTTTATTTTCCTGTGGCCACCCCTCTATATAAGGCAATGTAAACAAGATAACTTTAACCACATTTATGTTATTGAGATATTCAATATATTTTAATAATTGATTCTTGTTCATATTGCCTCTTCTCCCAACAAAAATTATTAATATACTATTAGGGTTAAATTTACTAGTTAAAATTTTATTCATAATATCACTGAATGATGCTCCAGGCATGCAGTAATTACTTATCTGTTGCCTTTTTAAACAGTTATTCAATGATATACCCAAGTTTTTGCCTATGTCATCACTATACACAATTATATTATTTTTTTCATTATATGAATTACTTTTTAAATTTATCTGCTTTGTTATGGTACTATCATAGAGTGTAGGTAAAGAAAATGAAGTATTACTGCTTGTCATATTATTAACACACACTGTCCCTAAAGAACCTGGCAGTGAGCGCTGATATTCATTTTGATATTTTAATAAGGAGTCAAAACGTTCCTCGTTATATTTGCAGGACTTTACCAGATTATCCATGGCCAGTATGTGTTCTTTTATCTCATTCCCTGCAGATTGATATTTATTTGACATAATTTGTAATGAGGTTTGAAGTGATAAAATTTCTGAATTAAGACACTCTATTTCAGTCTCATAACAATTTTTCATGTTTTCCACCTCAATTGAATATAATTTAATTTTACTAATTAACTCTTGCTTTTCCTTACATACATTTGTATAATTTTTAATATTAATTTTAGTTTTAACTAATTTTTGCACTTTCCTAATATATTTATTAATTTTTATATATTTTTTTAATTTCCTTCTGCTGCTTGTAATCCTTTCTGCTGTTCTTGATGTGGTAGAATCATCAGTCAAATCTATTGTTGTGGAGGGTTGCAACGTTTTATGAAATTTACATTCTACGAGCTCCTCGAACAGACTCTGAGTTTTAAGTGCATGCAAGTTATCAATGTTTTGTTTAAATTCTGAAATTTGCTCATTAGCTTCAGTTAATTGTAATTTCAATGCAGCAATTAATCTGAGGGATTCCTCATATTCTTTGCTGCATCGGTCAAACTCATCGACTGTCCTCTGGAGCTGATCCCTTTCCTTTAAAATATCTGTATAGTCTCTATGTAACTTAACCATATCACTTTTCAATTGAGTATTTTTCGAAATTATACTTATTATTTCCTTTTCGTTGTCATCCCTTTCTTTAAGTAACAGCTCACACTGCTCCCTGGACGCCCTCAGTTCTTGGAGCGCAAGATGGAGTTGGTTCTCCATCTGGCGCGTTTTGGCGTTACGAGTATTCATTTTACTATGTATTTTAAATAGTAAAAGAAAACAAAGATGGAAAATCAAGGGAACAGAGTAAGCAAATATCCAATTATAGGACTCTAATTACAGATCTCAAATTAAATTATCAGGAAAACAATTCAAAATGAAATCCGAAAACAACAACACTTAAGAGATATATCGTAAATATTAAAAGGGATAACAAGAATTACAGTAACTTTTAAACGATGTTCGTTACCTGCTGTCACTTTAAGTTGAGAGGCACTAAAAATTTATTTATTTAAATATTTACCACTTTTATTTATTACACAATAAAATTTGTTCGTAATTAACAACTATAACTTAAATTTGAGGTGGAAATGATCAATTACAATAATTATTTTTACGAAATTATTTGGGAGCCCAATTTTTTTTTGGACATTACATTACATTAGCAATCATTTTCAAGTAATATGACAATTAAAAAATGAAACAGCTCACAGGTAGTTTTATTTTACTGGCTCTCTCCTATCCTTCAACGTACTTCTCAAACCGAAATACGTTCGTGGATGCACTGATGCTTGGCGGCAAAAATAAGCGGTGATTAATAAGGCGGTAAGTGGATGGTACGTACCGTACGTATCAATATAATAGTAAAAAAACTGCCATTTACATTCAATGGCTTCCCACATGATAGATGAATAGTTTTAAAAATAGATTGAGTTGAACAATTAATATTTTTAAAACTTATCGTATTTACGGCGCCATGCGGACTTGATAAATCCATACCATAAGCCACTAAAACCCCTTTTTTATGTTATGTAAAAATAGCAATTAATCGATTTAAAAAAATATTAATAAGTTGACCACTCATTTATCTTTCTGACAATGTGCTTTTTATATCATTTATATGTATAATATGATTGCTAGATACGATTTCATGCGACAAAACGTTGGAATCATAATTTTTGGGCCCTAACAGAACATACCTGCGCATTTCGCGCTGACATGCAATAATATACATTATTATTATGCATTATAATATTCTGTGAGTTGCAGCTACTTTCGGATATCGCAGTTGGTATAGGTGATATTTACGTCCTTCTATTATCTGTATGTGTATTTTTCTCATAGGCTCATGAAGGGCCGCTAAAGTCATCTGCTGTACATAAGCCATTCCCGTTGTCAAGGCAAAAGCAAATCCTCCCTGATTTGCCTTTGCCTTGACAACGATTGACAACTTGATTGGTAAAGCCTGACAATCAAATTACCAGACGTTACCTTTGACGCTGTCGCCCGTTATTAATCTGGGTGTTTTAAGTCTGCCGTAAGCGAGATAGTTGTACCGCCATCCATCGGAAACCTAAATATTTTTTGCCATTTCTCGTAGTCCCACGACCCCCACGAAATGAAATTGGGTGATAGTTTGGACTGACGCTGCCACCACCGTATTCATTAATTAATTCATTCATTACGGCCCTTCACAAGTCTTCTGCTGAACATCTTTCTCTTCCAAGGAATGCCACAAAGCACGGTCCTGAGCCATCTGCATCCATCGACTTCCTACATGTCTTACCACCTCATCATTTCATGCAGTGGGGGACCGTCCTACACTTCAACCACCCGTAAGAGGCTGCTACTCGAGAAACTTACTTCAAGTGTCACCACCATATATATATTCTTACAGATCTTTCAAAGTACAGACCAGTGTACGCACCAAAGGACTTTTTGGAAGTGTTATTAACATTATCGGGTTACGTTCCATTTACTAAAGAGTAAGTAAATACTTAAAAATATCGTAAATTGTATATTTTAATATTTTACTATCACAAACATTTTATTTGGATTTTAGTGACGAACCGAAGTGGGAATTTGCGCATCTACCACTTCAAGTGAAGTCGTTGGATCAGTTGGTAATTATAATCAAATTCTAAACAATTCTATGCAATTACCCATCGACAGACTCTACGACGTTAATACATACATACATACATATAATCACGTCTCTTTCCCGTAGGGGTAGGCAGAGACCACTTCTTTCCACTTGCTACGATCCTTACATACTTGTTTCGCTTCGTCCACTCATTATTCTCTTCATTCATGCTCTACGATTTAGGGTAGGGTGAATGCTGTAGTTATTGGCCACTTAACGTAAAATTTATTTTCTGACATCAATAAAAAACATGTTGATAAAGTCACATACACTTGTTACATACCAAATAAAAGAGAATGGGATAGGGCAGGGGTCAGCAACCTTTTGAGACGGAAGAGCCAAAAATTACAATTTTCAAAATTTCAAAGTTTTAAAGAGCCACAATTTTTTTTCTTGCCAACCATAAATAGTATTTCCATAAATAAAGTTTCTTGATAAAAAAAAACTAACAGCCTCTCACAAGTCTACTGCTGAACATAGGCCTCCCCCAAGGAATGCCACAAAGCACGGTCCTGAGCCACCTGCATCTATCGACTTCCTGCATATCTTACCAGGTCATCACTCCATCTAATGGGGGGTCACCCTACACTTCGCCTACCGGTACGAGGCTGCCTCTCGAGAACCTTTCTTCCCGATTGGTTGTCGGTTCTTCGAGCTATATGGCCGGCCCACTTCCACTTCAGCTTACTAATCAATTGCGCTATGTTGGTTACTCTTGTTCTACTGCGGATATCCTCAATTCTAAGTTTACTATGCAGAGAAACCCCAAGCATAGCCCTCTCCATAGCTCGTTGAGCGACCTTGAACTTCTTCATACGGCCAGCGGTGAAGGACCACGTCTCAGATCCGTAAGTCATCACTGGAAACACGCACTGGTTGTACAATTTCGTTTTCAGACTTTGAGGTATGTCCAACGAGAAGATGGGTCGTAGTTTCCCGAACGCTTCCCATCCGAGTTGAATCCGTCGATTGCCCTCTCGGTCGAAGTTGGACTTACCTAGTCGGACTATTTGTCCCAAGTAAACATACTCGTCAACAACTTCGAACTTAGTGCTCCCAACAACCACCAGCATAGGTGTACATTTTTTCATTTTTGTTTTTTCTATGTTCATCTTAAGACCTATCCGTTGGGAGACACTATTGAGGTCATTGAGCATAGTGCTTAGGTCCTCCAGCGATTCTGCCATAAGGACTATATCGTCGGCAAATCGAAGGTGAGTGATGTACTCGCCCTTGATGTTAATACCGCATCCATCCCAGTCCAGTAGCTTGAAAACGTCTTCCAATGCAGCGGTGAAGAGTTTCGGGGATATAACATCACTCTGTCTTACACGTCTCTGCAGTTGGATAGGTATCGTACTCTGATTCTGTATTCGGATAGCCATCGTAGCTCTACTGTACAAACACTTAAGCACTTCGATATACCGACAGTCAACTTGGCACCGCTGAAGGGACTGCAACATCGCCTAAATTTCGACGGAATCAAAGGCTTTCTCATAGTCCACATACGCAAGGCAAAGTGGCAGATTATACTCCTTTGTCTTCTGTACAATTTTCCGAAGGGTATGTATGTGGTCTATGGTACTAAAGCCTTTTCGGAATCCGGCTTGTTCAGTAGGCTGGAAGTCGTCAAGTCTGCGTGCGAGACGATTCATAATGACTCTCCAAAACAGCACGTAAACGAAGCTCAGAAGGGAAGCCGATCTGTAGTTCTTCAAGAGAGCATTGTCGCCTTTCTTGAAGAACAAGTCCACCCCACTTCTGCTCCACGCCTCCGGAGTAGTGCCACCATGGAGGACAGAATTAAAAAGCTTCTGAAGAACTTCAAGTACCGGTTTTCCACCCGCTTTCCAAAGCTCCGCTGTAATATCATCCTCACCTGGGGCTCTGCCATTTTTAAGGTGCTGGAGAGCCATTCTAGTCTCGCTCAGACTGACGTCCGGGATATCTTCAGAATAGTGTCGCATAAGACTCACACTTGCGTGTGGCTCCAACTATGACGTGTACAGCTGCCCATAGAACCTCTCAATCTCACTCAAAATCTCAGGTGTCCCGGAAACGATGCTACCACACTCGGTCTTCAGCTTTGACAGTTGTTTCTCTCTGGCAAAGATTTTGGAGCCTTGGTTCCGCTCGATTGCTTCTTCAATACAAGCTGTATTGAAGTTGCGTAAGTCCCGTCGCATGCATTTGGAAATCTGTCTGTTCAGTTGTCTGTATGCTGTCAAATTTGTTGAAGAATTAAGCTTCATCTCCCGTCTAACAGCCATGAGATTAAGAGTGTGATCGGAGAGTTTTTGTGTTCTTCTGCGGCGTGTCTTGCAGAACTTAGCTCCGCCCGCATGGACAGTTTCCACGAGCTTGTCATTCATATATATATACTTGGATTCGGATTTAATTTTATTAATTATAGGATCCCAAGCAGATGGCAGCACCCATCCATCTTCTCTATTGAAAATGTTTTTTAATTTGTCCTTTTGCGAGGATTAGTGGTCTATTAATGTAGCCAACCTTGTCTGTGACTCCTCTGACATAGGGTAGTACAGCAGGCACACGCTCGACTGTGGCCGGCTTCACTCCGTCACTGTGACGTAGGCGCGGGACCCGAAGCTTGTTGTTTTGCAATACATTAGATTTGATAGACCACAAATCCTCGCAAAAGAACACCGATTCCTACCAAGAATTATTCGCGAGGCTATTGAAATTAAAAAACATTTTCAATAGAGAAGATGGATGGGTGCTGCCATCTGCTTGGGTTTCTATAATTAATAAAATTAAATCCAAACCCAAGTATATCACTGCTAGACTTCAAGATACTGTAAGCTCATGCTCCGTAAATCGAACCAAAAATGAATATTAAAAAACTGAAGGTAGCCGGGCTAACTATGACACCGGGACGTCAAAACATCTCAGTCCTCCAGTGACCATGGGTACTGTAAAGCACCCGAAACCTCGGGAATTAAAAAAGTTAAAATTAAACGCGATTTAATCCGTAAAAATTAGTTTCATTTAATGTGTAGTCTTCGCGTAAATATAAGAAAACATTAAGTAACATATACACTTGAAATTGTGCTGTGATTGATTAATAAACAATTTACGTATATAACGGAGTATTTTAGTTTTTTCTCGGGGGGTTGGAGTTGGTGAGTTTTTTGGCTGCATGGCCTCAGAAAGGTACGTTTGGCTAAAAATTACTGTCCGGCTTTTAGGGCCAAAAGTCCGGCTTTTTGGAGCGCTGAGTCCGGCTTTTTTTCATTTTAGGAGATGACAACCCTACTCTAGAGGTATCTGCATAAGGTGAGATTTAGGAATACAAAATTTATGATATGCTTTCTGCCATTCACAATATCTCAATTTTATGCTCTTTACAACTCTTTTACACACACCACAGCAAGAATTAGACTCAATTTTTCTAGTCTTTTCCAACTGTTTTGTCTTTATTTCCTCTAGTTTCCTCTTTATTTCTTCTTTTTTTTGCTCTCTCATAACTTTCTTTGCCTTCTTTTCTTCCTGTAGTCTATTCCTTTCCTTGGATTTTTCTTCTAAAATCTTTTGGTATTCTGGTCCTGATATGTGGTAAGGTAGCGTCTCAATATTACGTTTCCCTTTTCTGGTTGGTTCTGAAGGCATTGCTAAAAAATCTTTAAGTTTTGTTGTTGAACAAGATGGTAGGTTTTGTCATGGATGTTATCATCATTTGCTATTCCTAGGTCTACTAAAGTTACAAGTTCTTGGTCGTTATTCTGTAGATCACTAGTAATGTTGATTTGTTCATTATTTGAAGGTTGAATTGTAAAGGGTTCACCTTTACAGTTCAACCTTCAACCCTAACCCTGGTAAGGAAAGTTTTCATATTCACAGGTCTGATGGTCATTTCTCGCACTATCTTGTTCATCCTGGATTTTTTTCAAGGCTTTGGTGTGTTTCTATGATTATATATTGAGTTTCGTTTTCAGAACTATTGTTATTAATTATTATTGTTCACGCCCTTAGCTGCCCCGGCAAAGGTCGAATGGGCTAGGGCCCATAGTAGCCCCTCGACGGGCAACAGAGGACGGGGCCCTAATGGCCTATGGAGACTTATTATTCTACACAATAGATATAAGGCTAGGTAAATAATTAGGACGTACCTGGTTCCGACGCTAAGACTGACCACAAGGCTTGGTCAGGCGGTAGGTAGGTGCATGTAAGTTTGTGTGTAGTAGTGTGTACAATGTGTGACCTGACTTAACCGAGGTGATCGGGCAGCGGCCTGGTCCGATGCTGCCCCACGATGTGGTATCACTCCAGCGGACGTCACCAATGGAAAACTTCTGCCTTTATTTCACTATTTCAGTTTATCAACTTTATTGTACACTATTTCAATCTATCAACTTTATTGTACATTTAATTCACTTCAAACTCAACTAAATCCCCCTTAATCGTAATCAAACACGTGACACACGGCACAACTAATGAACGGTTGACCAAAGGTCAACTTCCGTTTTCACTTAGCAACAAATCATTTCTAGAAACCGAACGCGACCTTCTCTCGGGTCACAAAGTTCCGCGTTCCACAAAACAAACTAAGATTCTTTCGTACGATATTAACAGGCCACTCATGCAAAAAATGCATAAATATTGCAAATGCGCTTCAAAATGCAATCACTATACAAATTGACGTAAATTACTCACGAGTCTAGCGAAAAAACTGCAATAGTAAATTCCACACGCATCAAAGACCGGACGTTGATCGCAATCAATATTAACTTCCAAAACAATTAATCGACCCGGCGTCCGCGCAAACAATCTATTTTACTTGACTCAACAAAACTCCTCGTCGTTGCATAAATTTGCTAACAAAAACGGACACTATTTAGAGGTTATACGGTACGCGACCACGCAGTCCTAGTGACTGCGCTGCATTGTCGACTTCCGACGCGCCACGCCCAAAACCAACTCTGCTCGCTTGAACGTCAAACCGGTACGAATACACCGCGTCGAGCGCCCTCTGGCGTCAATTCTTAACATTAGCGTTTGGCGCGAACAATTATTATGTTATAGTTTTGCTCTTGTGTATTTGTCAGTTCGGGTCCCATGTCATTGTATTCTCCTTCCTCACATGCATAAGTATTCTCTGTAATATTTTCAGTATTCGAATGATAAAAGTTCCATATTTGATAAAGAGAAAGAGATAAAGAAGAATGATTCATTGTTTTGCAAATCTTGCATTATATTTTTAATGTCTTTAAATTTATTAATCATCTCTGCACCTACGATTTCTGAAAATTTTGTTAATGATAATGATTTTTCTGGTTTATCAGTTGAAATGCGTACATTATCTTCAGATCTGAATGCTGACTTGGCTAAGCATTTAGAATAATCGACAGCATTTGGATCAAAAGAATTGAGGCCGCAAGCTCGAAAGCCAATACAGGCAGAACTAATTTTGTCAGTAACTTTTTTTAGAACGAAAGCAAAATTTTGCTTAGAAACAACTTCACCAATGTTCTCAAATAGCCATTTCTAACTGCCTTTCCAGAACTGTTTTACAGGTCTAAATAGTAACACATCAGCTGGCTGAAGAATCCTAATGGCGTTTGGATACAGCGCAAATATTTCTATTTGAAGAGAGCGAGCTAGTACACGAACCTACGACCTAATCGTAGGTTAAATGAGATTTGTGTCCGTCAACAAACAATAAAATTGGTAGCTGAATGTTATTCGTTCTTTTAGTTCTTTTAGTTATCCTAGGATGGCGTTTTAAAAAACCTTTCAACCATTCTTTTCTAGGTCTATTTTTCCTGAATGGAGTCTCTCTGGGGTTTTTATTCAGAAAATTTTGAACAGAATCTAGAATGTCTTCGGCATTTCTAGGAAACCCTCTTTTGCCCATATCGCACAGCTATCCTTCTAACTGTTTTTCTTCTTCTCTAGTTAAGTAGGGTTCTCGTCCAAATTCACTCTTGCTATCCGGGTGTTTCAATTTAAATTGTAGTATTGCTTTAGGTATACCATATTTTTTGACTGCTGTACGAACTGATATACCTTGACTAACGTCTTCTAATGCTTTGTCTACTTGTTCCTTGGTATATTGCGGTATCTTTGGCATGTCGAAGCAGTCTAAAAGAAATAAAAAAAGTATTTAGTAATTGGCCACGTTACTTGCCAGCTATCGGCTAATAACTGATTCATTTAATTTAGAACAATATCATTTTTATATACCGTATATTATACCCTTATAAGGTCGAAATTGCTTTGAAAAAAGTATAATGAAAAATTAGTAATTGGCCAGTGAAGGCCTCTAACTGAAATTCAACCAAATTTGAATTTAGTTAGTTAATTAATATATACAGATACATACAGCAAACTTATAACACTGTTTTCATCGGGGTTTGAAAAAAAAGTATCGAATAAACTATTTTTCCAAGCGTAAAGTGTACCCGGAGTGGGCGAGCGGTGAGCTCCTGTTGGGAGCGAACCCCGAGGCAACGCTAAGTGCGGAGCGAGCGGCGCTAGGGGCGCGAGTGGCGGCGCTGCGCTACGCGCCGCTCGCGCAGGAGTTCCTCAAGCGCGGCAGCCCGCACTGCCTGCGCGCGCAGCTGTGGGCGCACGTGCTCGGCGTCGAGCTCTCAACGCAGGTACCGCTCGCGCAGGAGTTCCTCAAGCGCGGCAGCCCGCACTGCCTGCGCGCGCAGCTGTGGGCGCACGTGCTCGGCGTCGAGCTCTCAACGCAGGTACCGCTCGCGCAGGAGTTCCTCAAGCGCGGCAGCCCGCACTGCCTGCGCGCGCAGCTGTGGGCGCACGTGCTCGGCGTCGAGCTCTCAACGCAGGTACCGCTCGCGCAGGAGTTCCTCAAGCGCGGCAGCCCGCACTGCCTGCGCGCGCAGCTGTGGGCGCACGTGCTCGGCGTCGAGCTCTCAACGCAGGTACCGCTCGCGCAGGAGTTCCTCAAGCGCGGCAGCCCGCACTGCCTGCGCGCGCAGCTGTGGGCGCACGTGCTCGGCGTCGAGCTCTCAACGCAGGTACCGCTCGCGCAGGAGTTCCTCAAGCGCGGCAGCCCGCACTGCCTGCGCGCGCAGCTGTGGGCGCACGTGCTCGGCGTCGAGCTCTCAACGCAGGTACCGCTCGCGCAGGAGTTCCTCAAGCGCGGCAGCCCGCACTGCCTGCGCGCGCAGCTGTGGGCGCACGTGCTCGGCGTCGAGCTCTCAACGCAGGTACCGCTCGCGCAGGAGTTCCTCAAGCGCGGCAGCCCGCACTGCCTGCGCGCGCAGCTGTGGGCGCACGTGCTCGGCGTCGAGCTCTCAACGCAGGTACCGCTCGCGCAGGAGTTCCTCAAGCGCGGCAGCCCGCACTGCCTGCGCGCGCAGCTGTGGGCGCACGTGCTCGGCGTCGAGCTCTCAACGCAGGTACCGCTCGCGCAGGAGTTCCTCAAGCGCGGCAGCCCGCACTGCCTGCGCGCGCAGCTGTGGGCGCACGTGCTCGGCGTCGAGCTCTCAACGCAGGTACCGCTCGCGCAGGAGTTCCTCAAGCGCGGCAGCCCGCACTGCCTGCGCGCGCAGCTGTGGGCGCACGTGCTCGGCGTCGAGCTCTCAACGCAGGTACCGCTCGCGCAGGAGTTCCTCAAGCGCGGCAGCCCGCACTGCCTGCGCGCGCAGCTGTGGGCGCACGTGCTCGGCGTCGAGCTCTCAACGCAGGTACCGCTCGCGCAGGAGTTCCTCAAGCGCGGCAGCCCGCACTGCCTGCGCGCGCAGCTGTGGGCGCACGTGCTCGGCGTCGAGCTCTCAACGCAGGTACCGCTCGCGCAGGAGTTCCTCAAGCGCGGCAGCCCGCACTGCCTGCGCGCGCAGCTGTGGGCGCACGTGCTCGGCGTCGAGCTCTCAACGCAGGTACCGCTCGCGCAGGAGTTCCTCAAGCGCGGCAGCCCGCACTGCCTGCGCGCGCAGCTGTGGGCGCACGTGCTCGGCGTCGAGCTCTCAACGCAGGTACCGCTCGCGCAGGAGTTCCTCAAGCGCGGCAGCCCGCACTGCCTGCGCGCGCAGCTGTGGGCGCACGTGCTCGGCGTCGAGCTCTCAACGCAGGTACCGCTCGCGCAGGAGTTCCTCAAGCGCGGCAGCCCGCACTGCCTGCGCGCGCAGCTGTGGGCGCACGTGCTCGGCGTCGAGCTCTCAACGCAGGTACCGCTCGCGCAGGAGTTCCTCAAGCGCGGCAGCCCGCACTGCCTGCGCGCGCAGCTGTGGGCGCACGTGCTCGGCGTCGAGCTCTCAACGCAGGTACCGCTCGCGCAGGAGTTCCTCAAGCGCGGCAGCCCGCACCGCCCGTTTTAAAAACGATGCGAACGCACTTGTATGGCTGTTTTTCGTATATTTTATGACTAGCTGGTACTCGGTGCGTTGCTGTCGCAGAAAAAAATTTGTGTAAATATCCTTATTATTAATTCTAACTTATTAATTGTACTATGCCTATACTTAACTTTTGCACAAGTGCAACCAATAAGTTGACAAAGATGCAATCTTATAAACGGTATAGCAACTCATAAAATATGAACAAACAAACAAAGATTCATTTTTATGTACATTCCGTACGGATAAAAAATGGGATTAGAAATGGCGGCTCTTCGAGCCTGTACCGTCAACATGCACAGTACAAATAGCGAAAATCCGCTAATAACGGTATATAGTTATAACGTTATATTATTTGGTTATTTGGAAATTTTCTATTAATGGGAAAATATTTGAAAAGAATTGTATACGCAAGTACCTACTTGCGTATACAAATCTTTTAATTTTAATTTTAAAATAACATTTATTACTAGCGACCCCCACTAGTGTTAAATCTATTAATGTGGCGTTATTTAGACTTGAGATAATCATTACAGACCATTTATTTTATCTTATCAATATTTCTATCTTAATAGTCTCTAAATGTTTCGGATAAAATTTAGTTTAGATCACTCCTGGTATTACTCTCTCTATTTGTTCGTGAAGTTTTATTACAATCGATTCAGCTACTCCGAACAGTTAGCTCGACAGTAAAACGAAAATTTTAAAAATGGTAACTTATGCTCAACAGCATGTACATATTGTGTACAATATAATAACAAACAAAATCAACAGTATTTATGAAGAAAATTCTCAGGACGCATCGTACCTCACAAATTAGCGAAACCGGACTGAATTTTTTTTGTACTTTAATTTTTTATCATTGATTCCAATGACAAGTTGGACTGAAGTTATAGAACGTACGAAAAACGCATATCACAACGTATTTTGTTGCAGTCTTTACCGGCGGGTGTGAGTATAAATAGCGACAGTGTGCGAGTGAGAGGTGAATAGTGGCGACGCCATTTTCAATCCCATTCCTTAACCACACTGTTAGCATTAGATATAAAGGCTATACCGTCACATATTACAGGCTACATATCGTATGGAGATTTCCTTAAGTCTGCTCTTATGCACAACTTCGCCACTTCTTCTTTCCAGCAAATTGCTTACTTCAATAAACTAAAGAAGAACGTCCTAGAAGTGGATCTGATGATAGACAAGCTTATATTCAAGGATGTGCAGCTCACCGCTTCTAATGACGACCAATATTTCGTGTTCGAAGACCTGCTGTATCAGGTCTGTTGTATTTTTTTTTCTAACGGACGAGCTTGTTTTATTTATCTACAACGTTACACTACGATTTTCTCCTGTATCATGGGAACAGTTTTTATACATAAATTGTACAAGGACGCAAATCATCAACATCCAATCTAAGAAATATCCAGACCAGGAACATTTACTTGTAGGAAATTTTCACCTCATCGCCGCACTAGAGGCAGAAAAATTCGTTGATGCCTTCATTGTGAGCCTCCTCCTTATTTTAAAGTCAATTTAGAATACAATCGGTCTTCAGCTATTCTTTCGTCTTGCTGCAGCGCGAATCAAGCGTGTAGCTGCTCCACATTACTGCAAGTGCAGTCATTTCTTTATTGACTAAGGGTGACAAACGAGCGCACACTGATGGTAAGTGGCTGCTGTTGCCTGTAGACATCTACGTCTATCCTCGATTAAGAAACAAAACGAAAATGCATTCTCACCCGTTAGGACTAAGATGGAATGCCTCGTTTCCGTTAAAAAGGATCTCCGGTTCTCTACCACTCATCATATGAAATACAGTAACTTATAATTAATAACAATTTAGTTATAGAAATAAACTTAATATGTTTTTTAATTATTACTTCGAATTTTTGAATTTAACTACAAAACATCGTTGTCGTGTTAATGCGCAATGTAATTTTAGTTTGACTGTTATATTTTTAACGCACGCGCGTAGAACTGTAAAAGGTAACAAGTGGTAAAATTAAACATTTTCTACCGACTTCAAAAAGTACTCAATTCGACTGTATGTTATTTTTATGAGTGTGTTACCTCATGACTTTTTACTGGGAGAACCGATTTCGATGTTTTTTTTTTATTTGAAAGCTGGTGCTTCACATGTGGTCTCATTCAAATTTGATCAAAGTTTGATCAATAGTTTTTGAGTTATTCTTAATAATTTATATTACATTTTTTTTTTATTTAAATTATGTACAACCTACTTCAATATATACTATTAAGGTTGACTCAAAAACTACTGGTCAGACCTTGATCAAATTTACATGGGACTACATAAGAAGCACCAGCTTTGAAATAAAAAAAGAATCATCGAAATCGGTTCACTAAGAAAAGAGTTATGAGGTTACACACATTACAAAAATACAGTCGAATTGAGTACCTCTTCTTTTCTGAAGTCGGTAGAAAGGGGAAGCCCTGAATATTTTAAAACGTTTCAGGTAATGCTATGTTTCTCACGGGACGGTGAGGTATTGCAGCAACTCAAAGGTAGCGTCGGGAACCCTCTAACGGTGACCATCAAGGGTAAGCAGACGTCGCTCGACAGCATCACCGTCTTCCCCCCGAGTGGTATCATACCCTTCCACGGATTCACTATGTACGGTGAGCAGGTGCTATATGTCCTTAAATTTAGACAGAGTAGATTGAACAAACAAGTTGGTCAAGTTGAAGACCTTCGTGGCCTCCGAAAGAGTTTTGTATCTTTATACTATTTAGTATATAAAGTAAAGTTACAGTCTTTATAGGTTATAGCTTTCACTGCTGGGCACAGGTCTCTCATTTCTGGAGATATCCGGACCGGTAACGGGAAGCGGCAAAGTTACCAGATATTTGGTACTGCGGTCAGGAGTGGGAATTACCTCTAATTCTTACTACAATTTCAGAAGCATATATCCAACAGTTTTTCAACGTGGTACAGCCATGCTACTGCTGTATTGACATTGTAGCACAAATGGGTCTGCTTGACCGAGGTAGGATCAAGCTCTCACAGAATACCGCCGTAAAAACAGCTTAACGCTGCTGTGTTTCGTGTGGTGAGTGTAGAGAACTGGAAACCCTTTTGATTGATAATGAGGTTTTCTATATTGGTCCTCAGAGGTTCACACATTTGATTCTTAACCGAGGATAGATGTAGATGTCTATGGGCAACAGTATCCACTAACCATCAGGTGGACTGTGTGTTCGTTTGTCTATATAAAAAAAAACAGTAGTCTATTATTAGCTGATAAAATAGAATGATTATGCTGAGCCTGCGGTTATTTCGTTGCTGAACCCCAATCAATTGTAAAAATAGATTGTTTTTGTCGTACTTTTAATGAAACAGGAGATCTGCAGCAGCTTCTTCCTGACAACAACTCATAATCAGAAAACATTTCGGTTGCCAATCCACCTGCCAAGCGTGGCAAATATCCACCATATGCAACTGTGTGCGATGAATTTGGTAGGCCAAAATTGTCGTACATTTCTTGTATGAAGCTGCCATTAAAGTTAAAGTTACAGTCTATATACGTCCCACTGCTTGGCACAAGCCTCCTCTCATCTATGAGAGGGTATTAGGGCGAGGCAATGTCCCCCGCGCCGCCCCAATACGTGTTGACGAACTTCACATGTCTTCAAAATATTATTTATTCGTTTTTTTTGTTTAATAATATAATAAATGTCTGTGGAATTACTTTGTGAACGTGTGGCAACGGATGCATTGGCTTATGACTCGGTCTATGACGCGCCCGCATAAAATAAGTTAATCTACGGACAACTATGGAAGGCGCCGCAATGAGTGGTTGTGTGTTCTCGCCGCACCGCATATATTATTTTCTATTATATTTGCCAAGCCGAGGAATTTTGAGATTCGTTAAGTGTTTTGCTTCTTTTGTTATAGCTTTCATGAAGTATTTTCCACAGGCATTTCGCATTTGTATTTTAAGGTTATATTATATTCACCGCATTTATCAAATAAGTTTTCAGTCCATTTGCTCTCTTTCATAACCAATACATTATAACGAAGACTACAATTTGTTCGTATCTCTATTGTCAGCCACTCCGTTCTGTTACCTATACGACGATCCCGTGCAACTCTACTACACGTTCCGGGCTTTCTACGTCCGCTACTGGCATCGACTGCATTACATTTCAACTCATCCTCAGGTATATTCAAGTTACCCATCGCAATTTTAACATACTGCAGTCGTAAGGGTACCTATTGGGTCGTTAATTCTGAATTACTTGTTCTTCGTCTTTCTTTTTACTTTTGCCTACGTTTGTCCCATGGATGTCCTAACCAGTGTAAGATTGCCAACCCTACTATATATTATAGTATCTTGCTATACTAAAGTCAAAGCAGCAAAATATATTTCTTCAACAATAACATATTAGATTGAAACATACTAGGTACTTAAGTTTTTTTATTTGTTTCGCCATGTTGATAGTATGTTTTTAGAGGTAATATTATATACCCAAATAGTCAAACGCTACTCGATTTTAGCCGTGTAGTGGCGGTCAAGAATATCCACTACCCCATATCTTCCAGAGGGTGTCGTAAAAGGCGACAAAGGGAAACAGGAGATGGGCAGCAGCATCTTCCTGATAATAGCCAAAATTACAATAAAAAAAACTGCGGTTGCCAACCCGCTCGCCAAGCGTGGCAACTATGGCAAATACCCCCCTATGAAGAGAGTAACAAGGAGACGCCCCCAGTCCCCGGCGGCCCCGCTATTCTTGGCTACGGTGGCGACCATGGTAACAGCGGGGCAGGGGGTGCTAAGAATCTCCGGTGGAGATTCGGTTGCCACCTTAGACGATTCGACCTGGCAACGTACAACTCACGCACCCTAAGGACTGACGAGAAGATCGTGGAGCTGGAAGAAGAGATAGACAAGTTACGCTGGCATATTATAGGATTATCCGAAGTCCGAAGAGAGGAGGAGGACACGATAATCCTCGAATCCGGTAACTTGCTCTATCGCCGGGAGGGCGACCATCTGTCCCAAGGAGGTGTCGGATTTATCGTCCACAAGTCTCTTGTTAACAACGTTGTAAAGATCGGGAGTGTGTCGACGAGGGTTGCGTACCTTATAGTCAGAATCACCAAACGGTGTTAGCTGAAGGTCATACAGGTTTACGCACCAACCTCGGCACACCCCGATGAGGAGGTGGAGGAAATGTATGAGGATATCTCTAGAGCCATGCATTCCTTCAAAACCCAATATACGGTGTTAATGGGATACTTCAATGCAAAACTAGGCACAAGAGAGAACGGTGAGCTGAAAGTAGGGAAATTTGGAATAGGGCAACGGAACCCAAGGGGCCAGCGCTGGCCGACTTCATGGAGAAAGAGGAACTCTTTATGATGAACTCTTTCTTCCAGAAGCGGCCCCACAGGAAGTGGACCTGGTCGAGCCCCGACGGTTCGACAAAAATGAGATTGACTTCATTATGATTATGGTCTCGTCTAATGAAGTCAACGCTCCGTCCCCCTCGTGCTCTGTTCCAAAGTCCTGAAACCTTTCAGCTCAAGTTACAAGATCGTTTTCAGTGCCTAGAAGACTGCAATGAAGTGGACGATATGAATGACAAGCTCGTGGAAACTGTCCATGCGGTCGTAGCTAAGTTCTGCAAGACCCGCCGCAGAAGAACACAAAAACTCTCCGATCACACTCTTAATCTCATGGCTGTTAGACGGGAGATGAAGCTACATTCCTCAACAGATTTGACAGCATACAGGCAACTGAACAGACAGATCTCCAAATGCATGTGGCGGGACTTACGCAACTTCAATACAGCTTGTATTGAAGAAGCGATCGAGCGGAACCAAGGCTCCAAAGTCTTTACCAGAGATCAGTCTGCCAGAAAGAGCTAACTGTCAAAGCTGAAGACCGAGTGTGGCAGCATCGTTTCCGGGGCACCAAAGATTTTGAGTGAGATTGAGAGGTTTTATGGACAGCTGTACACGTCATCGTTGGAGCCACACGCAAGTGTGAGTAACGATCCAAGAGCGAGTCTTATCCGACACTATTCCGAAGACATCCCGGACGTCATACTGAGCGAGATTAGAATGGTTCTCCAGCATTTTAAAAATGGCATAGCCCCAGGCGAGGATGGAATTACAGCGGAGCTTCTGAAAGCGGGTGGAAAACCGGTACTGGAAGTCCTTCAAAGGCTCTTTAATTCCGTCCTCCATGGTGGCATTACACCGGAGGCGTGGAGCAGAAGTGCGGTGGTCTTGTTCTTCAAGAAAGGTGACAATGCTCTCTTGATGAACTACAGACCGATTTCCCTTCTGAGCCGCGTCTACGTGCTGTTTTCGAGAGTCATTACGAATTGTCTCGCACGCAGACTTGACAACTTCCAGCTTCCCGAACAAGCCGGTTTCCGAAAGGGCTTTAGCACCATAGACCACATACATACCCTTCGGCAAGTTGTACAGAAGTCCGAGGAGTACAATTTGCCTCTATGCCTGAGAAAGCCTTTGATTCCGTCGAAATTTGGGCGGTGTTGCAGTCCCTTCAGCGGTGCCAAGTTGACTGTCGGTATATCGAACGAAACCTATCCAATTGCAGAGAGGTGTAAGACAGGGTGACGTTATATCCCCGAAACTCTTCACCGCTGCATTGGAAGACGTTTTCAAGCTTCTGGACTGGAAAGGATACGGTATTAACATCAATGGCGAGTACATCACTCACCTTCGATTTGCCGACGATATAGTCCTTATGGCAGAATCGCTGGAGGACCTAAGCACTATGCTCAATGACCTCAATGGTGTCTCCCAACGGATAGGTCCTAAGATGAACATGGACAATACAAAGATTGTTTAATGTCCATGTCGCACCTATGCCGGTAATTGTTGGGAGCACTAAGCTCGAAGTTGTTGACGAGGGGCAAATAGTCCAACTAGGTAAGTCCAACTTCGACCGAGAGGTCAATCGACGAATTCAACTCGGCTGGGCAGCGTTCGGGAAACTACGACACATCTTCTCGTCAGACATACCTCAAAACCTTAAAACGAAATTGTACAACCAGTGCGTGTTGCCAGTGATTACTTACGGATCTGAGACGTGGTCCTTCACTGCTGGCCGTATGAGGAAGCTCAAGGTCACTCAGCGAGCTATGGAGAGGGCTATGCTCGGGGTTTCTCTGCGTGATAAACTTAGGAATGAGGATATCCGCAGTAGAATCTGAGTAACCGACATAGCCCAACGGATTAGTCAGCTGAAGTGGCAGTGGGCCGGCCATATAGCTCGAAGAACCGACAACCGATGAGGAAGAAAGGTTCTTGAGTGGCATGCCTCGTACCGGTAGGCGAAGTGTAGGGCGACCCCCCACGAGATGGAGTGACGACCTGGTAAGACATGTAGGAAATCGATGGATGCAGGTGGCTCAAGACCGTGCTTTGTGGCATTCCTTGGGGGAGGCCTATGTTCAGCAGTCAGCAGTGGACTTATGAAAGGCTGTAATGAGGATGATGATGACTCCATTTTAAGATGTTAAGTTTCGTGGTGTCAGTCAAATTTTAATTAAATTTTAAATAAATAAAATCTAAATTAAAGATTAGTCTCAAACATATTAGGACGGGTCGCTAATCTTTATATTTGAGACTAGCGATCCGCCCAGAGTTCGCCTGTGTAGGATCAATTATTGTGGCGTTATCTAGGTTTAAGGTATTATTGAGCGCCATCATTAATGCCTGGTACATGGCAACACTAGTTACCACTTGCGCCCTCTAGTATCGAGTAGCCGAACTAGGAGTCAAGATCCTTCTAGAATTTTTCATCGAAAAACTTTCTAGAATTATCGACACCGGTCGGGACCGGTATGTACTCGAAAATTCTAGATGTTTCTATAGTAGAAGGTCCTGGAAATTATCTGAGGCCCTATATAAGGCCGGTATAGACCGCGACCCAATCAGTGTTGAGTTGGCGATTCAAGCGAATACTCCGAAGCGATACAACTGCGAACTAAAGTCATCAGTAGTACAATTGTGTTTTGTTATTAGTATGGTTTTAAGTTGTTATTAGTGTTCTGTAATTAAAGTGTCAATTTTGGTAATTCACTCGGCAGTTTTTAATTCCCAAGCTCGTAACAGTATCATTACGGCCCTTCACAAGTCCACTGCTGAGCATAATCCTCTCCCAGAGAATGCCACAAAGCAAGGTCCTGAGCCAGCTGCATCCATCGCCTTCCTGCATGTCTTACCAGGTCATCACTCCATCAAGAGGGGGACCGCCCCATACATTGCCTACCGGTACGAGGTTGTCACTCGAACAACTTTCTTCAGATTTATACCCCCGTGGCGAGATTTAAGATTTAAATTAACAATTTTTCACTCAAAAAATTCTCGAATATTTTGTGATAAAATTTAGCCTCGATCACTCCTGGCATTGCTCCCTATCTGTTCGTGAAGTTCATTATACAATACTAGTTGTTACCCGCGACTTCGCCCGCGTGTAATTTAGGGTTTTAATTATGTTGCGCGGAACCCTCATTATTTTTCTAAAATATAAGTAGCCTAAGTTACTCCTTATAACATCAGCTACCTGCCAGTGAAAGTCCTGTCGAAATCGGTCCAGCCGTTTCCGAGATAAGCCGGAACAAACAGACAGATGTCTTAATGGTATGCAAATAACCCCCTCAGCTCAATAAACGGCACATTTTGATATTACAGACGGACACTTCAATTTACGGCTTCAGATGGACGCCGCTATAACCATCTCATGTCACGTCGACCTAATACTTAGGCTGGCGATGGGCAACAGCGCCAAAGATGCGAGACGTTTGCCAATGCGAGTGCCAACCCGCCTGCCAAGCGTGTAAAATTCCCTCGTGAGTGATCTGTAGGTAGGGTTGCCAGACGACCTTTGAAGGACGTCCTCTATTTCAGCTACAAAATTAATACTGATTTGAAATCTTTAATAGAGTACAAGGTAATATCGCGCGTATTCGACATTTCCTCTGCTACTTGAGGTCAAAGAATTTAAAAATCACTTTGAGGTGACCTGCTGTTGTGAGAGACAAACTACGTTACAATGCGCATTTACATTGTTTTTTTATTAAAAAATGTTGCTACTGATACCATAACAGTATTTAATTTAAAACAATATGATATCCTTTATTGTCATCTATTTATATATATGCTGGCAACCCTACCTGTAGGCTTCTACATTTTGGGAGTTGTGTACAGGTGTGTAAGGGCGACATCCTACAAATGAATGAGCTCAGTTTTCACTTCATTGTAAAAATATTAAGTCTAACGTTATTACAGGGTATTGTGTCACTGTGCCTTTTGTACGAAAGGCTTTTAGAAGCTAACGAACCACTGCTTTGGATACACTTCCGAAATATTAACATCAACCCGTGAGTTTGAATTTAATTTTTCTTTAGATGAACTGGGAACTGAGAAATAAAAGCTCTAATGCAACTTTTAACTTTATCTTTTTTAGCATACGAGTGGTATTCAAATGGCTCATGCGAGCGTTCAGCGGCCATCTTCCACCGGACCAGCTTTTGTTTTTATGGGACGCGATCTTGGGCTACGACTGCTTGGACATTCTGCCTTTACTCGCGGTCGCCATTTTGAGTTTCAGAAAGGAGAATATATTCCAAGTGAACACTATTCAGAATGTAGACGCCGTGCTGGCCGATCTGTCTACTATATCTGTAGTTCCATTATTACAACTAGCTTTGATGAAACCTTAGAATGTTGTTAATTAGCTGTAGGGAACAGTGTAAGGTGAATCGTCATAATTTTTTCACACTACACTAAAAGGAAATATTTTGTACAGTAGGTATGTAGTATAACTTTGTGTGTATATCTACGAACTTTCTATCGTGTCTCTCAGTTAGTTATTTAGTTCAGTTATTTTAATCAATAATACTGCTAAATACAGACGTAAGATTCCAATTTCAAATTTTTGTACTTTTAGGAGTCATATAGCATGACAACTTTAAGAAACAATAATGGAGAATTATTATTGTTTATTTTTTTCCATTTTATCGAAAAAGAAAAATCTTTGACTGTTATGTGTGATAATGTTAAAAATTAATAACATAAAGAAGTAGTTTGAAAATTGAAGCAAAATGATCAGTATTGATAAATTCTAACACGATCGCTTACTCGAGTCTTGGAAATATAGTAGTCGTGACGTAAAAATAAACAAATAATAAAATTAAAAAAAAGTTTCTGTCAAACTGTAAGTACAAAAAGAAAACCGTTACGGTATTTTATAAAAACAAATATATTTCATTTTTACTCAAACTACTACATTTTATAGCAACTTAAATATGAAAAGTATTAATTAGATCGCACCTAAGAAAGCCAGTTCCCCTTAAGGTGATACCACAACAATTGATCGACGTCGATCGAAGTCGATTGATGTCGCTTCATCATTCATCATTCTTTACTACCAAATAAACAATTTTTATTTTTATTATTATTTATAAATATCTAATTGTCTTGGAATACGCTCGTAATGTTGTTACCACACCAATTGATCGACGTCGATCGAAGTCGATTGATTGGTGCGGTAGCTTTAGCTGATCGACGGATACTGGTCGATAAAACGTTCAATCATCGATCGACGTCGATCGATTGTTGTGGTAACAATATTACGAGCATATTTCCAAGACAATTAGATATTTATAAATAGTAATAAAAATAAAAATTATTTATTTGGTAGTAAAGAACGATGAATGCCTAAGCCTGTCCCAGCTGTAATAATAATAATTGTTCAACCGACTTTTTGTGGAATGATATGTATAATAGAATATCTGTTACCTTGTTGTCAAGAAATTTATTCTAGTTTTATTCTCAACTCTCATTATTAATTAAAACTAGAATGTTCGCCTCTTTCTCGCACATTTTGTACTTAAATTTTGTATGTATAGTAGGTACTGTATTTATAGTTAAATATAGTGTTTGTAAATTATTGTTGTGGTAAATGTATAAAATAAAAACAAACTTAACAATCAATGAAGCCTTATATTTTTTTACAAACAACACACCAGTTTCCCTCTTCATAAAAACTACTTTCCACCAGCAAACTGGACAATTCACAGAGCTCATCTAGCTCGCCTTCTTCGAAAACGTGATAGTACCTCAGTAAGGTGCATTCGGGCTTGTCGGCCAGTTTGTTCTCTTTCATGCCGCGCAGTTTCCAGGGCACAAGGAGATCCTTGTGCTGGAACTGGGTTCTGTTCTCGTGGACCGGTAGTGTCAGGCCGGCCACCTCGACCGTACTGTTGCTCTGAACCTCTTTATCTTTCTCTCTGCAGAGGTAGTTGGACCTGGTCTGGTCTTTGGCCCACACTGTGATGAGGGCTCGGCCGCCCGGCCTCAGTAACCGAGCTATTGTAGCCACTGCTTGCACTCTTCTAGACTGTAAGGGAAAAACAACAAATTGAGATCATATTATTTACGTGGTAGAGCTATGCTGCAACTATATTATAGTTGTAGCACGAATGGGTCGACACGACCGGGGAAGGACCACGCTCTCACGGAATACCAGCGTAAAATAGCAGCTTAATGCTCTTGTGTTTCGTATGGTGAGTGTAGAAAACCGGAGACCCTTTTTACCGGAAACAAGGCTTCCATCTAGTACTCAGGGGTGCAACGCATCTGCATTTTGCTTCTCAATAATATATTTAGATATCTATGAGCCACAACATCCACTTACCATCTGGTGGACTGTGTGTGCGTGTTTGTCACCCTTATTCTATATAAAAGAAATATAAATTACAGCCTCTTAGAAGTTCATTACTGGACATAGGCCTCTTTTTCTCTCTCTTTATTTTGAACGCTATCACAACACAGGTAAAAAAATATAACTCAACACGGCGAGGGCTACCTACCGTGCTTCGTGTTCATCCTCTTACAGGTAACCATCACTTACATAGCATATACCGTTTTATTAACTTTATTCACTTTTCGGATTTATTTCGGCAATTATTGTGTATCATTTAAGGCTTTCATTTCTTAATTTTTTTTTAATTTTAAAGAAAAAATTTTTTTTAAAAAGTAAATCTTATAAAATTAGTTGAAAATTGATTCATTTCTTAAAATAAAATGGAGGGAAATTTGTGGGGAATCTGTTGAAGTTTTTTCCTTAAATTGGGGAATTTGACATGAATTTTTGGGGAATTTGACAATTTGGTGTTGGCAAGCTGCCATGTTGCACCGAAATTTAGTTTGCCGGCGACATAAGAATTAGAGGCGGCAATCATAATAAAACTTGCAAGTAATTTTTAATAATTTTGACATACCTCTTTTTAAATTCAAAGTATTGGTCGCGTTAAATACAGTAAGTCTATTAATTAAAATAAAGTAAAAGTATTATTTTTACATTAATTCTAATAGATTAATTAACTGTCGATCATAATTGCAATTGATTTTAACTATTAAATTATTCAGTACCATTTCATTTCTATTTTCTTATACAAAATCAAAGATAACGATGAAAATGAATTTTGACATCTTCGCGAAGATTTCAAAATAAGTACTGTATATTTAAGGCCTTAACAGTGGTTGAAATGCCTAAATCTAGGATATTTAAGTAAAAAAATCTCAATAACTGTTCATTTAATCCACAAAAAAAAATACAGGGTAACAGAAGAAGATTTGGTAAATGTTTTTAATTTAACAAAATTGTATTTTTGTCAACCCCTTATTAGAAAAAAAATCCCCAAAGAGTACCTATCTTTGTCATATTTTGCAAAATTTCTCCAAAACGGCACAAGCTTTTTAAATAGTTTTTACACTAAAAAAAAGGTCTTAAAAATATCAATATTTTTAATTGAGAGTTTTATTTTTATTACCCGTTTTATAAGAGAATATATCATTTTTCCCTGAAATTGAATATATTTACGCGAGCGCGCATGCTCCGTCGCCATGTAAGCTCTGTCACAGTCCGTTTTCGGACGTCGTCGAGGGTAGACCGCACGTCGGTGTTGGAGCGACTTCGTTCAAATATATATTAGTTTTTTAAAAGTTTATACTCAATTATAAATATTTTTATGACTAGAAATACTTAATTTAGTTAATATCTGTACACTGGCAACTGTAAATATTATTTTCTAAATAAATGAATTTTTAAAGTGCCCAAAGAAGAAAAAATTTTTGCGGCGACGTTGATTAGTGAAATTGAAAAATGCATTTTTATATAATTTAGATGTGGAACGACGAACATGCTCTCGTTACTTAGATTGCGATAGTTTTTAATACCTATGTAATTTTATTGTTGCATATTTTTATTAATTAGTTGATAATGAATTTTATAATTATGTATTACAATAAAACGCTGTTTTTATAAGTATGACTTTATAAAATATTATTGGGGAGAGAAATAAAGATACAGATACTTACATTTAGGTACACTGTTATCAAATTAAATCAAACAATTTAAATAAATAAAAGAATGGACCTAAGTATAAATAACTATATAAAGACATTCTTGGGTTTATGGTTTTTTTTTTTTGTTAGACAAACTATCATCTAAAAAATGTAAAAATTTTAAATTGGAGAGGGGTTTCTCTACGTGATAAAGTTAGAAATGAAGGTATTTGCATTAGAACCAGAGTAACTGACATAGCTCAACGGAATATTACAGTGAAATGGCAATGGGCTAGCTATATAACTTGGAAAACATAAAAAATAGGAAGAAAGGTCCTCGAGTGGCAACCTCGTACAGGTAAGCGAAGTGTAGTACTCAACCTTTATTCCTCTTCACGTATTCTCATACGCTTTTCTTCACACATACACACACACACACACACACACACACACACACACACACACACACACACACACACACACACACAAGCACACGCGCGCAAGCACGCACGCGATAACACACACACACACACACACACACACAAATTGGTCGTAAATAATACTTACCTAGTACTATTAGGCAAGAGTGAATAGGTTTTTGTTAAGTCAGTGCAATTCACCATCTTAGACTACATAACCACTTACCGATGGGATTGTAGTTGCTTTACTACTTGCTGGGTAAAAATAGTAAAAAAAAATTTACCCTGTGAAAGTTTGCATTTAGATATAATTTTTCTAACCAACCATAAAAATATGATGAGAATATGTATATAAGTATAAAGGTTGCCTCACACAGAACAATAATAATATAATATTATATCTTCCATTATCTCTGAAATCCGAGGTATGTTCATATTAAGAGGCTGAATAGGGCCACATTGAAATGCATGGGGATGGTTTTGTAATTTCACGTCATTATCGAAAAAAAAATTGTACGTATTTCAGGTGGCGGTTTGCAAAACACGATTCCACAAAAATTAACTCAATAGAAAATAATTGCAAAGTTGCTTCTAAAAATACTTAAATTTTCAACGTCAATTTTTTTTTACGTGGTAGAGCCATGCTATAGCTATATTTATTAGGTATAGTTGTAGCACGAATGGGTCGGCTCGACCGGGGAAGGACCACGCTCTCACGGAATAACATGTAAAATAGCAGTTTAACCCTGCTGTGTTTCGTATGGTGAGTGTAGAGAACCGGAGAACCTTTTTACTGGGAACGAGGCATTACATCTTAGTCCTCACGGGTGACAACGCATCTACATTTTGATACGTAATCGAGGATAGATGTAGATGTGTATGGGCCGTAGCAACCACTTACCATCAGGTGGACTGTGTGCTCGTTTGTCACCCTTATTCTATTTAAAAAAAAACTTTCTGTAATTTCAGTAAAATAATGTTAAGTATTGTAAGCACTCGTACAATTATGTCTCATGTTAATAAAGCTATTGGGCTATTTTGATTTGTAATAAAGTGATTTTACTTTATAGGTTAAATAATTTATTTACCTTTCTTTATCAAGAACCGTTTTTTTGTCACTCCTATTAAATTTGACAGTGCTTGCTGAAATTTAGCATCTTTAGATGGATCAGAATCGCCCGCTGATCCGGCTGTTAGATATTGCAAAAGTAATCGAAAATATTTATTTTTACTTTCATGCCGAAGACTACCTTGTTTTATTTTGTTACGATCAAATAATATTTATAAGGTTATAAAGCAAGTATTTTTGTAAATGTTTTGTATGTAAATGTAAATGTTTCCATTATTTTGTTATTCTATTGTTTACAGTTATTATCACGTCTTAGCTTTACACCAAGAATTACATTAGAAATTCTTGATGGGATGCGATGTAACGCGCATACACTATTTTCATCAAGAACTATAATATATATATATTTTATTATATTTGTTTTTTTTTACCAGTAGAGTTTCAACAAAATCTTAAAAAAGTTCAATGAATTTTAAAAAAATGCTAATAATTATATAATTTCAAGTCAGTGTTTTACATTTAAAGATCAGTTATAAAGAGCCAATGTTATTATTTTCATTTTGATTAATTTAATTCGAGACTAAAATAAATGTGAAAAGGCTTTTATCTGCAATAATAATTTTCATCAAAAATAACATAGACTTATAAAAGTCATATACACGGTCAATCATACTGAAGATTATCAATTGTACTACAAAATATTTAAAATACTATTTCCAGTATAATGACCCGAATATCATCATTAATGTTTGACTGGAATACTTAAAAGTTTTATCACATGGCTAAATGATTGACTTTTATATTATGATAAGGTCATGAGAAATTTTAAATCACGGACCTATTGGTTTGTTTTACATTTTACTTAATTAGTGAAAAACAAAATGGACTGATCTAAAAGTTTACTTACTTGTGTAAAAAGTGCTATTTAGAATTTTATGCAAATGATAATTAAAGTTTCTATGTTAATAAGAGTAATATAGCGGAAATTATATTCAATAGTAGCGGCCATCCGTATTTGCAAAGCCAGCATCATTTTCTGTACAGAAACCGACAAAGTGTTGCTCAAGGCACTATAAACAAAGCAGCTGATAAAATGTTACACTCATAACTGTTAACAAAAACTGTTTTCGCAAATGGTCTTATAGATAATAATAACTATTCCGCCGTGTTAGGTGCAGGAGCTATTATTAGAAGGAGAAGAGGTAAAATTTTGTTTTAGAAATGCGCAATCAATAGTGTTTTGTCTGCAATGGAGCATAAAATAAAAAATAACTTCAGCCAAAGAGCATAACTGGCATTATACTCAGGCCCATCAATTGGTATGGAAAAAATAATTTTACCAGGTTTCAAAAAATCAATCAAAATTCAAAAAAAATAAATATTAAAATCAAAAAATGTATATATGTATGTCTATACATACATATAATGATTTATGGCCGCTTAGTAACTGACGGTGACTCAGTATAACATCCTTCAGTCACGTCGAAACTAAGAGGAGAGAATCACTGTAGAAAAGGTAATAATTTATTGTGGAAATTTTGTGATAAAATTAAAAAAATTACA